GTATATCCATAAGTAATTACAAATTAACTTGATTAGCTTCATTTAAGCAATAAAGACATTTAAATCACTGTAGTCACAACAGATAACAATGCAGTTTAGGTTGATTCCACTTTGGTCCAATTCAAATACGAGGTTGTTTCTGAAGTTCCCAAAGCAATTTGTCTCATCCATAGGGCTGTTTGGTAGTTTGAAATAAGGGCGACTCCGTGTGCGCGCGCGCGCGCGCGTGTGTGTGTGTGTGTGTGTGTGTAAAAGAGAGGGAGAGGAAGAGAAAGGAGAGAGGAAGGAGGAAGGGGAAAGAGAAAGGGAGGGCAGCTGAAATATTTTATAAAGAGAATCTTTCTCTTATCAACTATTTGGCTACCCAGCAGAATAATTTATATAATAAAGGCAAAATAACTGCTTGATTCTTTTTCTTTATTTACCAATCTTCAAAATAATGAGTGGCTTACCAGCTTCCTCTATTGGTGACCTTATCTTTTTTTTAAAGTATCATTATGAGCTCATGGAGAATGCGACAGACAATTCACATTTGATGTGTTTCAATCCTTTGTAGTTATTATGCTTACTGATGCTGAATGTGTCCCATCCATGGCCAGAGGGAGTCTCTTCAAGTTAACTCCTGAGTCCTTTTGACATTGACCCCAGTAGTCTTTGATAGTTTCCTTGATATCTGGTATGACAAAAAGTTCCACATTTATTTTTGTATATTTCTTTTCCAAACCTGTAACTAGCTATTTCTCCAAGGATCCCTGGTTCATTTTAGTACGAATGGTATTTCAAGACCACAATCTGTGTGCTAAGGATGCTCGTTGTTATTGAGTTGGTCTTTGTTTTTATTCGTTTCAGTAAAAATAACTAGGAAATACGTTTTCTATTTCCTCCTTCCTTCCCTCCCCACTTCCTACCTTCCTTCTTTCTTCCCCGCCTCTCTTCTTTCCTTTCAATAATTCAAAAAGATAAATCACGCGTTCATATTTAACTTCTATCTTATACTTTTAACTCATTTTTCCCACACCAAGAATTCTGCTATTTAACAGGGCTTTTTTTCTTAAGGTATATTGCACTGAGATTTATTGTCAAATGACTGTGTTTTAAAGACATTTGGAACAGTTATTCTCTGTGTAGTTGAGCCACCAATTGGATACACATTTAAGTTCTTTTGTGTCATTTTATTTCTGGTTTTTAGGGATTTATTTTTCCCATTTAATTTTGTGTTTTAGCTAACAGTTTTCAAAGTTCATAGTCATTCTAAGGACAGTCATCATGTCAATGTTTTGTCTTTTTTTGCGTGCAATTTCTGCATTCTTTTATATAGACCTGAAAATGAATGTAAGTAACTAGGATCTGTGTTTAATCATAGTTTTGACATTTACTTGCTCTATCTTTTAGGGAAATTACACGACGTTTCAAACCAGCATTTCCAACAGTGTGTTTCATGGACCACTCTGTAGGACAGGAAGTAGGGGGTGGCGTGGGGTGGGGTGTGGAGATAAGCTTCCATGGTCAAATAAGTCTGAAAATTCTACATTCTCTTGGAGAACCATGATGTATATAACACATAAAAGGTTCTGAGACGACCCGGAGTAAGGAATCCTTTTTAGGTTGGTGCAACCTATTGTTTTCAAACTCCTTTGTGTCTGCATTGGAGACCATAGTCACACCTTTTTTGTTGTTGACAACAGTTATTCCACTGAATGAGAGTTCTGGGGAACATACTTTGGGAAATGTTGCTGTCAAGTTTTCCTCTATGTCAGAAGCGGATGATAATGCCTGGTCTACCGTTCTCTCTTAGTTACTGTGAGGATCAAGTGAATTGAATAGGAAAGACTTTTAGTATATAAAAGAGACTACTGTTTTGCTAATGGCTATAATGAAACTTGGAAACATGGAGCTTAACTCTAACTCATGCTGCTGAGGTGGACTAATTCTCTGAAGGGGCCAAGGGAATGATGAAACTTGGAGATTTCAGAAGAATGGAAAATGACATACAAGGGTCAATTGAGGAAGATGTTCAGACAGGAAAAAAGATTCTATTTCAAAGAACAGCTATGATCAGATTAATGGTTTTCACATAGAACAGGGAAGTCCTAGGCCTGATACAGAAAAGGGCTTGTTTTCTTAGCAGGTGGAAGTGATCTAGGGAAGGGGGTAGAAACCCCTATACAGTATGACTTGTGTGAGGAATTGAGTATTGAGAGTGCCTTTGATAGGTAGGTATTAGTTTGTTAGGGCTGCCACACAAAATACCGCAAACTGGGTGGCTTACACCATGGAAATTTATATTCTCACAATCTGGGAGGGTAGAAGTCTGAGATCAAGACATCAGCAGGGTTGGTTGCTTCTGAGAATTGTAGACAGCTTCCCTCCTTGGCTTGTAGCTGGCCACCTTCTCGGTGTCTTCCATGGCCTTCCTCTGTGCATGGGCATGTCTGTGTCCAATTTCCTCTACTTATGAGGATAACAGTCATACTGGATTAGCGCCTACCCTAATGACCTCATTCAAAATGCCTTTACTGAGCATCTGTTATGGAGGAACTGGACAGTCAGGCACTGGTGATAGTGCCTACCAGAGGGAAGGAGCAGGAGTGGGTATGTGGGTGTGGTGGGGGGGCAGCCCAGCTATGAAATAGAGGTTTGATGTCCCTTCCACTATTTATTCAATAAACATTTTAAGCACCAACTTTGTTCTTAATACTGTGCCAGAAGCTATCGGGCTGGGAGGCGGAAAGGAGTGACTGATACCAACTTTTATCATTTGAAGATGTCTATTTTTTTCACACATTAATATTTCTGAAATTACGTTTTACAATGATAACAAGTTTAAATGGCTACTTTTTTTTTTCTTTCTTAGTGGTACATAAAATGATGATGTTTCTTACAATTGACAGAGCCAATTAGATTCAATAAAACATGCTGTTTGGTCTGCCAAATGTAGTTCTTCTTCAAAAGATGCTTAATATTTATGATTCTGCAATGTACTCGATTTCCCCTATGTTTGTAACCATGTAATATCCTTCATCAGCTTGCCGTGTTCCTCTTGGCCTTAAATATGCGTTTACTCAGCTATGGTTGTCTATTTTCTCTTTGTATGGTCTCCTTCAGCCTTCAGCCAAATGAAAGACTTCATATCTCTATCTTCAGCCCCAACTTCTTTCCTAGGCTCCGATTTGTAACTGGCGTCTGAACATTACTTGGTTGTCTTGATGTCACCTCAAACTCAACACAAGGCATTATCTTTCTCTCTAAGCCAGCTTCTCCTCCAGGCTTCACTAGATATTTCAGTTTTTCTAGTTCAGACTTGAAACTGTGGGAGCCCTACTTGATTTTTCTCTCTCCTCTCTTTCACTTCTACACATCTGGTACGTTGCCAACACCTGTACATTCTTCCTCTTGTGCTGATCTCTCTCTTCCACCTGAGTCCAGGCCCTTGTCTAATCATGCATGGACTACTCTAATTTCTACCTCTGCTTCTGATTCATCTTGTTCATTATTTAAATTTTGTCTAGCACTATACTGTACACTTGCTAAAAGTCATTTAATGGCCCCTTACTGATCGTTGAATAAATTCCAAACACCACAGCCTGGTACTCAAGGCTCTCCACAATTATTCCTTTCCGGCTTCATCACCCACCATCTAAAGTGGAGGAAATGTTCTGTACTTCTCAGCTGCCACAATTTTGGCTTGAACCATTTCCTTTGTCTAGAGTCCCACTCCCATCCCCTTGGTTAATGTAAGCCCGGGCTTTCCTTCAAAGCTCAGCTGACTCAGCATCTCCAGATAGTTTCTAGTTCACAGTGACCCCTCTTCTCTGAGCTCCTACAGCGCATAATGCATGCACCAATAATTTGACATTTAGCGTGTGCTCCCTTCTGTTGCTTTCTATCCTTTTATGCATGAAAATGTCTTTCCAATGAGAATTAAATCTTTAGAGGGCAGGGACTTGGCCATATTTCTCCATATCTCCCGGGTCGATGGTCTTTTAAACAGAGTAGAACGAAACTTTAGCTCTGGAAATTTACTAGCTCCACCCACACATTGCACAGATAAAGAAACCGAGATCCAAAGGGGTTCAGACCCACTGAGTGGAAAGCCACGGCCACAGCCCGATATTTGCTGACACTTACGGATTATGAGTCAGAGGGTTGGCTTATAGAGAGTGGCAGCATTCAGAAGGGAGAATGCGAGCATCCTCTGAACACAGGAGGGAACGCAGTGAGTTTTGGCAAGTTTGGGGACAGACAGGAACCACGTAGCGGCTACTGGAGGGCAGGGCTGTCTTCTGCAGCTCCCACAGGCTCCCCGCGCGGCGGGACGTGGTCCAGGACATCTCCCGCACCGCCTGACTGCGCAGCCTCCACCACTCGTCCTCCCCGCCGGCTCTCCCGCTCCTGGGGCCCGGCCGGAGCAGGACCCACTGCCCGCTGGAGAGGGCGAGCCGGGGCGCGCCCCTGACGGGAATGCGCGCACTAAGCACTGCTCGGGCCCTGGCCCGGCTCCCTGGAAACAGGCGCAGGGGCTTTCCGCCGGCCGGGCCTCACCCGGACGGGGCTCTCAGGTTCCAGCGCCCGCGCCCCGGCCCCGCCCCCGCCCGCCAGGCCCCGCCCAGCAGCGGCCGCCTCTCCGCGTCTCTCCCCACCTCCCTCACGCTCGACGGGCTCGCTCCCGCGCCGGGCGCGCGGGCACGAGGGGCGGAAGCCGCGGGGAGCGCTCCGCCGCGGGGACGAGCGCGCAGGCGCCGCGGCGCATCCAGGCCGAGCGGGCGGTGCGGTAAGAGCGGGACCCGGGCTCCGAGCGTCCGGCGGGGTTGGGGGCGCGCCGGGATCTGCGCGCGGCTGGTGGCCCGGCTCCGCTGCGCTCCGCGGGGCGGCGCCCGCGGTCCCCGGGGTCGGGCGGGGCGCGGGGACGCGGCTGCAGCGGCGCTGGCGCCCGGCGCCCGCCCTCCGAGGGCCAGCCCGTGGGGACGGGGAGGACGTGGCCGGAGGGTCCCTCCTCCCGGACGGCTCCCCGGCCGTCGTGCGCTAGCTGGGTGTCGTGCCCACCTGGGGAGTCCTGTGGCACTAAAAGGAACGCCCCCGGCTCCGGGAAGCGGGCGGGAGACTCTTCCTGCGTCCAGATGCGCCCTCAGCGCCAGGCGGGACCCCTCTGCCGCCCCCGGGGCTGCGTCGGGGCGTGGGATGGGTTAGCAAGTCGCTTCACTTTGCTTTACCGGTGGAAACGGGAGTAAAGATCCCTTTATACAGTTTCAAGAGGAGCGCTCGGTGAAGAGTGTCACATACAGCGTTAACCATGGAGGACTCACTAACGTTAGGGACCTCGCTGTTCAGGCGCGAGGTCTCCATTCAGCAGATGCTTATGAGCACCTGCTTCCTGTCAGCATCGTCCCACGTGCAGGGAGCAGAGCGAGACTAAGACAGGAGCCCTGCTTGCATGGAGCTTCTGTTCTGGTTGGCCAGTAAACGTAATTTCCTTTTATACTTCTTATTGGAATATAACGTATGTACAAGAAAATACTGTACACAAATGGTAAATTGTAACTTGTTGATTTATCATAGAGTAAACCCATCTTTTAACCACCGCTCAAATCGAGAAAGAGAACATTTGCAGCATCTTAGACCTGCCTGGAGACCTCTTCCAGCACCACCCCTCTTTCCTCCCCAAGGTAGCCTCTTTCCTGATTTCTAACACCATAGGTTAGTTTTGCCTGTTTGTGTGCCTTTCATAAATGGAACCATGTGATATGTATTCTTTGGTGTCTAGTTTTTTATACTCAAAATTATATTTGTGAAGTTGTTCCATGTTGTGTGAAAATGTAATTTCTGATAGTGAAAAGAATTAGGAAGAAAATTAAAGAAGGTAATTGTACAGACAGTACGAGGTGGAAACTTTAGTGGAGTGGTCAGGGGTGATCTTCCGGGGGATGACTTGAGATGTCACATGAACCACACAAGGTCAGCCAGTGAGCCGGGTTAAGAGCCTTCCAAGCAGAGCAAGTAGACATGACTAGGAACTGAGATGTGAATGAACCTGGCAGGTTCCAGGAGGAGAGGGAAGAGCTTGTGGAAAAGTGGGAAGACATGCAGTTGGAGAGGCAGGCAGGGGTCGGCTCACAGAGGGCCTGATGGCTGCGGTGCGTTGATTTTATTCCAGGTGTAGTAGATGTCAGGAGGAGATGGTTTTGATGCCCTTCAGTTTCTAGCATGAGCCTCTTGAGGTTGGGAAGGCCTATCCATTTTACTCATCAAAGAAACCCTACAAAAGTGGCAATACTGGGCAGCTGTTGGGAATTGGGCAACGTTAACATGCTGGGAGCCCAAATCTTTTGTATTATCAGGACTTATATTAATGCACACACATAATGTGCTTCCAGAATCAGATTGAGAAGACTTTAGAAATTAGTCATCTGTTCCACACTCTAAAAATATTCTTCTCAAGTGGTTGCTCAGCTTCTGTTTGAACCTTTTCAAAAGGAACTCCTTTCTCAGGAGGATTCTCGTTTCATTTTTGGGCAGCTCAATTGTTAGAAAAGCTCTCCTAACATTTGATCAGAACACTGTAACGTTGGTCATCAGTTCCGTGTCCATACAGGGCTCACGGTTACCACCTGTTATCTGCTGCCTCGTTTTCAGTACTCACCCAGTTGACTTTGGCTGGTTTGTTTTTTCACATTTAAGTGTAGAACTTTGAATTTATTTGAATTTATCCCTGTCATGGTTTCTGGAGTTACATCTGGTCCATCGTGGATGTTGTCCATACCTTTCTGGGTGTGATTGTTTCATCTGTCCGCCAGCTGACCTTCCACCACTGTGCTCTGAGCAGACCTGACAGCATGGTGTTAGTGAAGCATTATGTTCTTTTCAAGTTCGTTACGGTAATTAAGTGTTATTGGTAGTCTTATTTTTGTTACTTAAGGTTCCTGGGGAAGTACCTAAATATGAGTCTCTGGAGCTGTGGATAATTGATTTAACTTGGTCATATTAGTGATTTAAAGTTCCAAGATAGAATATTAGTTAAGCTATATTTTTAAATTCAGGAATTAGCATTTGTAAAATCAATTTTATTTATCTTTTAAATGAGACATCACTTTTTTTTTAAGATTGGCACCTGAGCTAACCTCTCTTACCCATCTTCTTTTCTTCTTTTTTTCTTCTTCTCCTCAAAGTCCCCCAGTACATAGCTGTGTATTCTAGTTGTGGGTCCTTCTGGTTCTGCTGTGTGGGACGCCGCCTCAGCATGGCTTGATAAGCGGTGCTAGGTCTGCACTCACGATCCAAACCGCAAACCCTGGGCCACTGAAGCAGAGCGCACAAACTTAACTACTCGAACTTAACCACTTGGCCATTGGGCTGGCCCCTGGAAAATCAATTTTAAACATGATGTCTCAGCAGAAAATAGAGTGCTGTATGCAATTCTGTAATATATAGTGCAGAATGTTGATCCTCCTCTTTTTTTTGCTGAGAAAGACTGGCCCTGAGCTAACATCGGTGCCCATCTTCCTCCACTTTATATGTGGGACGCCTACCACAGGATGGCTTGACAAGTCGTCTGTAGGGCCACACCGGGGGTCTGAACCAGTGAACCCTGGGCTGCCGAAGCAGAACCTGGGAACCTTAACGGCTGCAACACCAGCCCAGCCCATCCTTTGCTATTTTTAAGTAAGAAAATATTTTGCCCGGTAGGTAGAATGCGCCAGTTTTTCCCTAAATTTTTCAGTTGATTTGTTAATTGTATTTTTCTGAATATATTCAAATTAAAGTATATCCTGTGGTTAAAATGGTCTACCATTTTTCAAAGCTTTTTACTTTTAAACCCCCCAACCCAAGGAAAAAAGTGCAAAGAATGTAAGCAGTTAATTGCGTTTTACTGCTTTTGTATTTTTTCTTAAGAGTTGGGGCTATTATTGATTCTTGCAAAGGTTTTGTTAGATGGAAAGTTGGTGTGGTTACTACAAGTATATTTTGGAAGAGAAGAAGTAAAAATCAAAATTACATAAATGACTTTAGTGGAAGTCTAAATAGATAAAATTCCTCTTTCTCTCTGTACCAAAGGTGAGTCCTCCTCCGTTTACCTTTGTGGTCTCATGTCTGCCTGTAGGTGAAGGTGCCCTGGATGGGATCGACTGTTCTATCTACAGATCCCTGTGATTTTTGTCTTCACTCAGAAATACTCTCTTGTAAGAGCAGGTCCTTATCTTTAGATATACTGAGTCCGTTTAACAGGGAGAGCTGCCTTTTGAGGGATATTTCCCAACTAGAGCACTAGGGAATAAGAAGTTTAAAACTACCCCCTTTCCTGTGTGTCCGTCCTTGTGTGTCCTCTCCGTTCCCCCCACCCACCCACGTTCTCCACCTACTTGGTTTAATGGCTTTCTTGTTATAGGTACTCTGCTCAGCTAAATCTCAGTATCTTTTTTTTCCCCTCCAGGCTACTTCTTCATAGACATAAAAAAAAAATTCAATATTTAACTGTTTGGAAACGAAGCATCACTTGAAATCCTCTCCAACTCCTAACGCCAAAGAATTGATAACATTCCTCTGATCAAGAAGTGACTGACTGCGTGTTAAAAGTATTGTGGCATTGGTCCTGTTTTTCTCCCTCCCTAAATTTGAAGAAGAAATATGGAGAAATGGTACTTGATGACAGCTGTGGTCTTACTAGGACTAACAGTACGGTGGACAGTTTCTCTTAATTCTTACTCAGGTAACGCATTTTTACTGTTTAAAAGATAGGTAAATATTTCCTTGAATAGGTTTCTTTTTGGGGGGTGGGTGGGTAATAGTTTACAGTTTTCTGACCCGGACAGAGAAGAATTGTAGGCTTTATGGGTGTGGTCAAGAAAATACATTTAAACGTCTAATTCTGATAAAAAGAATTTGTTAAGAGCTAACTAGAAGCGTGGGCTTTGTGATCTACGAACACAGAAATGTATTCCAACTGGCAAGATGACAAATTACAGAGAGAAGTGAGCTGGTACTTCAAGGGGGGAGTGAATCAGGAGGCTTTTTTTGTTTAGGGTGGAGAAGGCATGATACTCGTTTGAAAGAAAGAGACCAGTGGAGGGTAAGGTTGGGAAGGATGTTTTTTTCTTATATATTTTATATTTTTGGGTTTTTTTTTCTTATGTGTTCTGTATTCTGGAAGCTGGCCTTTGTCCAAGTTGCAAATATCTCCTCCCAGTTTATGGCTTATCTTTTCACATCTTTTGATGAACGGGAGTTTTTGATGTTAAAATAATGAAATTTATCAGTCTTTTTCCTTCACAGTTTGTGCTTTTTGCGTCTTTAAGAAATCCTTCCGTATTCCTACGTGACAAAGATATTTTCCTAAAATTTCCTTCTAAAAGTTTTAAGATTTGTCTTTCCTATTTAGGTCGTTATCTTCTCACAGTTGAGTTTTGTGCATAGCATGTGAGATGAGGATCCCAAACAGTTTTTTTCACGCGGATAAGCCATTGTTTCAGCCGATTACTGAGAGTCCATCCTCGTCGGCTGATCCACATTGCCAGTCCTGTCTGTGTTAGGATGCGCGGGTCAGCTCCGACTCTCCGTCCTGATCGCTTGGTTCAATGCTGCCGTGTCTTCTTACCGTTTTCCATCAAGTCTTGATTTGTTGTGAGGCTGGTTCTCCCCCCTGATCGTTCCGCTGCTGGAGTGTCTTAGCTATTCAGGGCTTTGCTCTTTCTTACTGTGGGAGGCAGGACTTCTCAGATAGCCCCAGAGATGTCCCGTCCTAACCCCAAGCCCTGTGGAAAGGATGCGCTCTGGGCGGCGCGGGCCGTGCCCGGTGGTGTGGCCTGCTTGACCTTACCGTGCCATGTGCTTGACCTTACCGTGGGAGACTGCGCTGGGTGGGTCAGCTGTCCGTGCGAGATCGCCTGAGCCCTCACAGCAGAGGACTCTCCAGCTGGCCGCAGAGGGGCCCCGCGAGGTGCAGGGCGTGAGGACCCGCACTGTGGCTGGGCTGAGGGTGGAGGGGCCGTGAGAAGGAAGACGGGCAGCCTCTAGTCGCAGAGCAGGCCCGCTGACAGTCAGCAAGGGAATGGGGGAACCTCTGGGCAACCTCGGCTTGCAGCCGAGAGGAACCGAATCACGCCAATAGCCTGAACGAGCGTGGCAGTGGGTTCTTGCCCCGGGCCTCCAGTGAGAGTCTAGGCTGGCAGACACCTTCATTTGGCCTTGTGTGACCCTGAGCAGAGAACCGAGGTAAGTTCACCCAGACCTCTGACCTACAGAACTGGGGGTTATAAAAGAATATTGTAATAATTGTTATGCAGCCGTAGAAAGGTAATACAAACATATATGGCTTTTTAAAAAATCAGATTGTCGCAGTCCGGTGAAAAACCCTGTTGGGATTTTGATTGGGATTACATTCTTCTACACTGTTCGTTAATCTGGGGGAACTGGCAGTCGTTACCATAGCAGGGCTTCTCATTCACTAAGATTCTGTGTTTCTCCATTTATTTGTCTTCTGTAATGTCTTTCAACAAAATTTTGTAATTTTCTACATAAAAGTCTTACACATCTTTACTTACTTAGATGTATTCCTAGGTATCATTTTTTTCCCCTCACTATTGTAGATGGTATCTTTTTTTTTTATCTTTTTTCGTTGTTGAGTTCATAATAGTTTACATCAATGTGAGATTTCAGTTGTACATTACTTCTTGACCGTCACCACATAAGTGCTCCCCTTCACCGCCTGTGCCCACTCCCCACCCCCCTTCCCCTGGTAACCACTGAACTGTTTTCTTTGTCCCAGTACTTGTTTATATTCCACATATGAGTGAAATCATCTGGTGTTTGTCTTTCTCAGACTGGCTTATTGTGCTTAGCATAATTCCCTCCAGGTCCTTCCATGTTATTGCAAATGGGATGAATTTGTCTTTTTTATGGCTGAGTAGTATTCCATTGTGTGTATATATATATATATATATATATATATACACCACATCTTCTTTCTCCATTCATCAGTCAATGGGCACTTGGGTTGCTTCTATGTCTTGGCTATTGTGAATAGTGCTGCAGTGAACATAGGGGTGCATATGTTACTTTGGATTGTTGATTTCAAGTTGTTTGGGTAGATACCCAGTAGTGAGATAGCTGGGTCATATGGTATTTCTGTTTTTAGTCTTTTGAGGAATCTCCAGACTGTTTTCCATAGCGGCTGCACCAGTTTGCATTCCCATCAGCAGTGTATGAGGGTTCCCTTCTCTCCACACCCTCTCCATTTGGTATTTTTAGTCTTAGTGATTACAGCTATTCTAACAGGTGTAAGGTGGTATCTTAGTGTCGTTTTGATTTGCATTTCCCTGATGATTAGTGATGTTGAACATCTTTTCATGTCTTTATTTGCCATCTGTATATGTTCTTTGGAAAAATGTTCTGTAGATGGTATCTTTTAAAAAATTTCTCAATATTTGTTTCTAGGGTATAAAAATGTGGTTGACTTTTTATATTTGGCAACCTTTCTAAACTTTTCTAATTCTTATAATTTATCTGAAGCATCTTTTGGATTTTCTGTGTAAAAAAACAGTCTGTGCATGATGAGTTTTATTTCTTCCTTTTTACCACTTACACTTTTTAGTTCTTTTTTCTGTCTTTTTATTGCTAGGACCTTACTACAGTGTTGAATGTAGGTAGTGATTCAGGCATCCGTATCTTGCTCCTAATTTTAGTGGGTGCTTTTAATTCACCATCGAGTATGTTTTGTTCTTTCTAGTATTGAACCAACCTTGCATTCCTGGAATATTCCTGAATAACTCGTTTGTGATATATTGTCTTTTTTTTGTAAGTGTATTATTAAATTTTGCTGATATTTTATTTACAATTTTAGCATCTATGCCCACAAATGACATTGGTCCACAATTTTACTTCCTTAAAATATTTGTCAGTTTTGTTATCAAGGTTATGCTAGTTGCATAAAATGAATTAGGGCGTATATCCTCTTTTCCTAAAATCTAAAATAGTATGTAAGATTGGAATTGTTTGTTCTTTAAATGCTTGGTAGAACTTGCTAGTAAAACTATTTGGGCCTGGAATTTTCTGTGTGGAAAAATATTTAATTAGGGATTTAATTTCTTTAATGGTTATAGGACCATTTGGGGTTTCTATTTCTTCTTGAATTATTTTATAATTTATATTTTTCTAAGAATTTGCCTGTTTCACCTGAGTTTTAAAATGTATTGGCATAAAATTATTCATAATGTTTTCTTACCTTTTATATCTCTGCTATATTACTGCTAATGGTTCTTTTCTCATTTTTTATATAGTTTATGTTGTTTCATTTTTTTTTTTTTTGAGGAAGATTAGCCCTGAGCTAACATCTGCCACCAATCCTCCTCTTTTTGCTGAGGAAGACTGGCCCTGAGCTAACATCTGTGTCCATCTTCCTCTACTTTACATGTGGGATGCCTACCACAGCATGGCGATGCCATGTCCACACCCAGGATCCGAACCGGCCAACCCCGGGCTGCCGAAGCAGAACATGCGCACTTAAACACTGCGCCACTGGGCTGGCCCCTGTTGTTTGGTTTTTTAAAAACCAGTCCTATTAGAGGTTTATTAATTGTATCATTATTTTCAAAGAACGAATTTGAGCTTTGCTCATCCTCTGAGTAGGATGTTTGGGTTTGGTTTTTTGTTTGTTGCTTAGTCAATGTTTTAGCTCATTAAGTTTTGGTTTCTCTTATTTTTTTTTTCTCCCCAAAGCCCCAGTACAGTTGTATATCCTAGTTGTAAGTCATTCTAGTACTTCTATGTGGGATGCCGCCACAGCATGGCCTGATGAGCAGTGTGTAGGTCCACACCCAGGATCCGAACAGGCAAACCCTGGGCCGCTGAAGCAGAGCGCGCGAGCCTAACCATTATGACACCAGCCGGCCCCCTCTCTTCTTTTCTAATACAGTCATTCAAACTGTACATTTCCTTTCAAGTAATATTTTCTACTTTCTATTGTGATTATGCTTTGACTCATTAGTTATTTGGAAGTATATTTTTAAAATTTTAAATATTTAGGCTTACGTATATTACTTGTTCTGACATTTCTTTCCTAACATCTGAATTTACTCAGTTTCTTCCCTCATCTGGAAAATAGGACTCCTGCTGCTTGTTTTAAACCTTGCTCTTAAGTTGTCCCATAAGCAAGTCAACAGACAACATTACTTTTGGATTATTGTGTGTATAAGAGAAGTACTGTTATTGCACAGTAGTAGAATATTTGTATGTCTCTCTTGTGGTGCTTATGTATTTTTGTCATTTTTCAGATGAGAAAAATAAAAATGCTAAACACTAAGGAAAATAGTGATTCTGTCAGAGTTCTCAGCTCCATCATAAGAATAAGAATATAACATTTAGCTTTCACATGTGAAGAGCTTCTGTATCATGGGAGGCTGGGAAAATTAATGAAAAAGCATAACATCTGTGATTCTGCTGAGACCTTTTTCCTTCTATTAATTAAAATGCTTTTTTTGGTTATAATTTTTTTAACATGCTTATTTTAGTTTGCTTTTTGTTTATCTTGTTTTAAGATTGTAATTAGGAAGCGCTGGTGTGAGGAAGCTCCGGTGAGCTTGCTTAGAATTAATCCATTATTTCTTCTTTGGAAATGCACATATTGTGTAGACAAACTACTTATGTATTGTAATTTAAATTTTTCTGAAATTTATACCCCTTACATATTTACATATACCCTTTACATAAGTGCTGCTATGTAGTTTTTACAGACCTAAAAATACTCAATAAATATTGCTTGTTGCTTTCAGACCAACCATGGGGAGGAGACAAATTCTGATTTTAGTACTGTTTATCATAATTTGTAGAGATTCAGAATTCCTCATTCCTGTATTCCTCCTTGGATATACTCGATCCAAAGTGTTACCACTGTTTTTAGAGCAAATAGCAATACTTGAACTAATTTTAATAATTTATTTTTTCAAAACTGTATTGGCTGTTTAGGAGGAGAAAGTCATAGAGAATCCTTTTATGCAACCTGTCAATCATTGTTACTGCCTTCTATTTGATTGGTTATTGTCTCTCAGCCTACCCATTCCTATTTGTATTGTTTCTTCTTACTCACTAGGAACATATAAAAGGGATTTTATTCTGGAAAATGTTAGCTAAATTCTCTTCTCTTAGAATGTTCAAAATTTGAATGTAAAGGCAATTAGTCTATATTATTGTCAAAGAAACTACTTTTAAAAAAAATTCTAACAATTTTGAGTAGCTCAGCAATTAATGAAATGAACACTTAATTGGTGCTTAAGCCCATTTTCCTGAGAATGAGACAAAATTGAAGCTTCGTGAATACACATTAGTGTGTTTTCTGTCTGCGATTCTGCACCTGCTGTAACTGGGTTTGTGGGTTAATTGCAGTGGGAGGAGCCCGTTTGCCCTTCCCGGTGAGGCTCCCACAGGTGCAGTGGGGCTGTCCTTCTGGGTTGCTTTAAGGGCACTTTAGCAGTTTAAAAAACTTAAGTACTAATTTCATAGCCAGTGTCAGCTGAATTTATTGAAGTAGGTCAGACTCTGGATAGAAACTTGTTTCTCAACCCTAAGGAGAGTCATTATCCGCTCTTCCGTTTGTTAGAGAATGGTAGTAAATTCTTCCTCTTGACCACGAGTCTAGAGCAATTCAGAAAATCTAGATAGTGGGATGTTGTCAGGTACAGGAAATTACTTAAGATCCTCCCTGACTTTTATTATCCCAGTGGAGGAAAAACAAACAAATAAAAACAAAAGAAAAAATAAAAATCAGCTCCTTTCCCCCCATAGACGGTGGTTGTATTCCTAAAAACAGAAACACACACACACACCCACCTGTAAAATACACACGCACAAGTGCATTAGCTCACTGGGGAGTCATGTTCCTTTTTTTTTTATCGTAGGTTATTCTTCTCCTGTTCAGTTAATTAAGCACGTTTTTAATGAAAGTATGTACTATATGCTTAGCAACATGCTTCCTTTGAACTCTAGAAAAATCACATTCTCTGCCATAGAAACTAAAATTCTTATTTGGGTGGCAATTAGGAAATAGTATAGTCAATGACAAAGTATGTGATCTTGAAAATCTAAGTATTATGAGAAGTCAGTAATTAATGATCAGCATGTTTTCAATTTATAAGGGAAGGTTTCGTGGGGAATTTGGAATTTGAGACGATTCTTCTGGGACGGATATGAGTTGATAGAAGGGATGTGTGAATAGGGAGGAAGCAGTATGAACAGAAGCTTGGAATTTCAGTGTCCGACAGTAACTTCAAGATGGTTTTGGGCAAGAAGCAATACACGGGCATCGTGTTAAAGTATCCTTGGCGTCATTAGTTGGTCTGCCATCACAAATCGCTGAATGATGCACAGCCAGAAAGTGGAAAACCTGAGACTCAAAAATTCAAACGTTTTAAACTTAAAATCCTTGCTGTATCACACTGATTCCACCAACATCCTTGCTGTGTCATTGTACACTGAGAATCTACGAGGAGCCCTTTCATCCTGAGAGTACAGAAATGGACAGGATACGGTCCTTTCTGAGAGAGACAGCGGTGTGTGTACGTGTGCCTGTGCTGTGGGGAATTCCTGTGATAGTCACTCAGAGGGCACATGCTTTGGACACGTGACCTGCCTTTCCCATTATTATCTCATAGTGGGAGTATCTCTGTGGGCGGAGATGCTAGCATTTAGAGAATATTGGTAGAATATAGCCAGTAAGTGCAAAAAAATCTACCTAATGTAGTGTTCCACAGCTGGAGAAAATCTGGGTTGGATTTCAGTGAGTGATGATCTCTCCTTCTCCAATGTGACATACCTTCCCAATGGATTAATGCATATATTTGACTACCCGGGATTTTCCTTTGCTGACTGAAAAACCTTTAGCTGCTCTGGATCTCTTTGGGCCGCCTCACAATTTTGTAGTCAGTTGCTAGTTAAGCTGTGGGTGTTTACCAAATGGGATTACCTTTATATCATTTTAGATGACGTAGGGTGAATAACCTACTTAAGCGAGTAGTGAGGCCATGCGGAGTGGGAGCTAAGAGCGTGGACTGTGGAGCATCTGCCTGCGTTCCCATCTGGCTCTGCTGCGCGTCACCTGCGTGACCGTGGCCTCCGTTTTTCCAGCTGCAGAGTGGGGATGATGATAATCCCCACTTCTTTGTTGTATTTGGCACCCGGGAGGCACCATCAATTGTTAGTTACTAAAGATCCGTTATTCCGTGTTTGCAACTTTGAAATTAAAGACAGTTTCTGTATCACTCATTTGACAGCAAAGCCTGACGTAACTAACGTCTTTGTAACACAGTCTGTTTTTGGTTCTATGCTTGACCTCAAGTTATTTATATTTAGTTTGTAAAAGCCATTTGTGAAATACAGATATTTGTTATTAATACTGTTTTATGACACTTACTGGACGGTGTAGTGGACAGTCTTTCTCGTGAAGTAAAAGCAAACTTGAATATGTTAGCATGAGTGTTATCAGTGACTTAATTAATAACTAATTAGCATTATAGCTAGTTAATGTGAACAATATTTATTGAATGTTTACTGTGTGCCAGGGACTGTACTGGGCGTTTTATGTCCATTCTCTTCCTATTCCACTAGTCCCCTAGGTGGGTAGTATTGATCCTGTTTGTAATGCGCTGAGGCTCAAGGCCACGCACACTCAGTGAGTTAAAGTGCTAGGAGTCGGACCTCATCTCGCCGACGTTTTTGGTAACTTCTGTGTTCTTTGCCTTCACCTACACTACCTCTATAATATAGAAATTTTTCATAAGGAAATAAATTATAACATCGTATATAATACTAATAATATTATAACATAGTAAATAATAAAAATAAATTAAAGTCTATTGTTGTTTTGCTCTTTTTACCTTTCATCTTAGGTGCTGGAAAACCGCCTATGTTTGGTGATTATGAAGCTCAGAGACACTGGCAAGAAATTACTTTTAACTTACCCATCAAACAATGGTATGGATAATTTTAACTCGATTTTATTGTTTATCATAGTTGTTATAGATTACTTGAAGATACTTAAAAGGAAAGTATGTTCTTTTCTTCATCTTGAGCATTCTTATCTTCCTGCATGCTGATGTCACATACGTTACCTTGCGTATTGTAGGCCTGTTTTGACGTTGCATACTCCTGAAAGTTACCTCTGTACTCAGTTACTGCGGGAACATGGACTGAGCTAGAACTCTGAGGAGAGAACGCTGTATTCCTTAGAAGCTCCTCGGGACATAAACCGTGGAAGTTCATGAGCTAAAAATATTTCTGCTGGAGGTTTCGTGGAGTTTCTCTCTTAGAACGGATGAGCTGTAAAAAAGCAGTGGCCTAGACGGGAGGAGTGTGGGTCTTAGAGTCAGCCAGCCTGCGTTCAGACCCGGCCCTCCCTGTTTACTAGCAGGGGGACCCGTGGCGCATTATGTAACTTTCTCCGCCACAGTTTGATCACTTGCAGAGTGGACATGATAGAAGACGTATTTCACTGGGTTATTGTGAGGATTGAATGAGATGATGCACATGGAGCCCTTAGAGCAGGGCCTGCCATGTCGTGAGCTCTCGGTTAGTGTGAGCTGTGGTTATATCTTCACAGAAATCCACGCCTGTGGCATTTTTATTGAACATATTCTGATAACAACTGGTGATATTATTTATTGACTTACTGGATGCCTAGTGGATTATTTTATTAGAGGCTGGCTGTGCAAACCGTTCATGTTGTCTGTTAATTGTTTTCATATAACTCCTTCATGAGCGAGTTCACGCAAGAACTTCATATTGAACCTTCCCTAAGAGGGCACCCTAGTCATAGTTCGCAGTGTTTAAAACAGGTCAGGTAAATATTTGGCACTGTTCTTTAGTGTTCTCTTTTGAGTATCTTTCAGATCCTCAGACATTGATTTAACCAGCGAGTATCACTGTTCAGATCATTAGTACATTCTTAATGTTTTTCTCTTGCTTGATTGGTAAAATAGGGTCATACTTGCTGAGGCAAAACAGACCACTGCTTTGGAGCTTTGTAATTCTTTTCTGTTCTTTTGTAAATATTACATGGATAAGATAATTGTATTCTTGGCTGTTCTTTGATAAGTAGTTCTCAACAAAGACTTTAACACAAAATTAGACATAGTATTTAGTACTGAAAGATTAATTAATGCCAGGAGAGGAAAGCACTGATTCCAAGGGTGGGGTGGGATAGAGTGTATTTTTTTTTTTTTTGAGGAAGATTAGCCTTGAACTAACTGCTGCCAATCCTCCTCTTTTTGCTGAGGAAAACTGGCCCTGAGCTCACATCCATGCCCATCTTCCTCTACTTTATATGTGGGATGCCTACCACAGCATGGCGTGCCAAGCGGTGCCATGTCCGCACCCGAGATCCGAACCAGTGAACCCTGGGCCGCTGAAGTGGAACCTGCGAACTTAACTGCTGTGCCACTGGGCCAGCCCCAATATAGTCTTAATCCGGTAGGGCATGGGCCATTCTAACACTGACCTGCCTCAGCTTTCAGCTCTGGGCCAGTGGTCTCCTAGTTTGGCCCAGATAATTAAGAGGTGACTATATGTATTCATGCAATCTTTTTTCTTTATTAAAAGCCAGAAATGTATAACTCGGAGAATAATCATATGATTAGGTTTTGACTATGGTCCGTGAGCCTTTAAAAATTATGAAATGCCTGAGGTCATCTTGGTGGCAAATTTTGTAGTGTTGAAATCTTTATCAAGGGTTATACAGCCTGAGAATCCTGAAGGGTGGGCTCAGAGACAGAGGCGTAGAGTACAGAGAAATAGGATTTATCGTCATTGATCATGCACCACTTCAGAAAGTTCATAAGAAACTTAAGAAATATGATTTACTATAGTAAATGTCAGAAAATTTCTCTTTATGAGTGGATGGACTAGAAGAATCAAAAATGTGTGTCTGGTGATTGTAAGAGAAACAGATCTGTTTCTGATTCGCGTTTCAAGGGTGTGATTTCTTTTTCCCCCTAGTTTGAGGTTCACTTTATGTGATGTATGATTCATAATGGCCATCATTGAAAGTGATATATCACAGCGGCACAGTTTATATAGTAGAAAATATATACTCAGGACAGGTCCGCCATTATCAACAGTGGATATAAATCTATATGGGAAATAACATTTCTAATATTTTGAATTTTTTGGCTAATTTTATCAAATCTGATTAGTTTGCCATTATTACCTAGTAATGTGGCTGAGGAATGATGTATTTATTTATTTGTTTTTGGTGAGGAAGATTTGCCCTGAGGTAATAACCGCCACCAATCTTACTCTTTTCGCTGAAGACGATTGGCCCTGAGCTAACATCCATGCCCATCTTCCTCTACTTTATATGTGAGACGCCTGCCACAGTATGGCTTGATGAGCAGTGCGTAGTTCCACGCCTGGGAGCCAAACACGTGAATCCCGGGCCGCCGAAGCGGAGTGAGCAAACGTAACCACTAAGCCACTGAGCCAGCCCTGGAATGATTTATTTTTTTTAACTTCAGTTTTCCAAGAGTCTTTCTGTCTTCATCTGGAAAGTTGGCTATCATGTAAATAGTCAAGGCTCTTTCAAATGACATAGTTGTCTAAAATATGCAATCAGGATCCATCAGGTTAACTTTAAAAAACGTCAGTTTTATAATTCTAAATTAGAAGAAAACATTTATTCTGTTTCAATATGGATAGTTGTAAGTAATAGGAATATTGAACTTTTTTCTTTAATTTTATAATGAATTTTATAGTGAAAATTCCTTATGTGTGAAATCAGGAGCACTTTTGGCATCAAGCACTAAAAAACTTGAGTAATAGCTTAAGCGATAAAATAATTTAATTCTCTCAAGAAGTAGTTCTTTGCAGGGCTGGTAAAGTGGCTCAGTGACAGCAGTCACGGACTTGGCGTTTTCCATCTTTCTTCCCTTTCTGTCTTTCTTCTTGGCATGTTGGCTTTTGACCCCACGCTCAGTAGATGACGGCCAGGGCTACAAGCATGGTAACTTTGTACAACTGTGTTCAAGGCAGGAATAATAGAATACCTTCTTTTTACCTCTCTTTTTGCTGAGGAGCAAACTCTTTCCCACCCTTAAAGCAGTCATTCGTAAAAAGAAACGCCTGGCTCCGTGCAGGCCTGGTTTCTGTCCAGGGCTAGGGGATGGGTCCACCTACCCTGAGCGTGCGGCGTTCTAAACCAAATCACAGCTTTGTGAGGTCAAGAGGCATTGTGGGAATGGCCGTTTATTTCAGCGTTCTCTATGATGAGAAACCAGGAGTGCGTTCTCTGTCTCTTAGTAGGTTAAGAGAATGATTAAATAAAGTATATTTCCCTGTGCACATGTGTGTGTATTTTTTCTAGGTAGATTCCTAGAAGTGGAATCTCTAAAGTACCCAGTTTTAATGGATAACAACACCAGAATATGTCTTCCCACATACCCCTACCAACACTCTGTAACGCCACACTTTAAAAATTTCCATTTCCTTGAATACTTGTGACGTTGAGCATCTTTTAATATGTTTACTGATCATCATATTTCTTCTTAGAATTGTGTATTCATATCTTTCCCCTATGTTTCTAATGGATTGCTGATCTTTTTTGTAATGCTTTGTATGATTTTTAAATAAACAGTTATGTTAATTTTTTATGCTGTGTGACAGATGAGCACAAATGGTAATTGTTACACGCACATTTATCATGGCACAGTTTCTTTGGGTCGGAAGTCCAGGTGAGCTTAGCTTGATACTGTGCTAAGGGTCTTAGGAGGCTGCAGTCCCGTAGTAGCTGGGGCCATAGTCTTATCAGTGGCCCAGCTGGGGAAGGATCCATTCCACGTTCCCTTGGGTTGCTGGCAGAATCAGTTTCCTCGCATCTACAAGAATAAGGGCCTCAGCTTCTTGTGGGAAGCTACTCCTAGCTCCTAGAGTCCACTTGAAGTTTCCTGCCACATGGCTTCTCCGATGTGGCAGCTGACTGAGACGTGACAGCTTGCTTCTGCAAAGTCAGTGATGGGGGCATCTCTAGCACACTTGCTAGCGAGGTGGAATCTTACGCACATGTGAAACAAGCACGAGAGTGACATCCTGTCACCTTTGTCATATCTGGTTGGTTACAAGCAGGTCACAGGTTTTGCCCACACACAAGGGAGGGGATTGTACACACTCAGGGGCACACACATTAGAGGATGGGTTCAAGGGGATGACCTTAGGGTCTGTCTGCTACAACAGTATTCTACATTTTAATCGTTTATCTTGTGTGTATGTATAAAAGAAATATCTTCTTCCTTTGAAGATATTTCTTCAAAGAAATATCTTGTCTTTGAATTTTTCTTATGGTGTCTTTTTTCATAGAAAAATTTTACATTTTCATGTGTACAAGTTCTCTGAACTATTTAAACTTTTCTGTAAATTTGAAACTATTTCAAGCAAAAATACCCATGACTCTAGGTTGTATGTTAAAAAAATTACGTTTTGGAGTTAATGATCACACTCTTGAATATAATTTCCTAATTTGTGTGGCAGCCAAATTTTTTCTGACAAAACGTCTCCTGAGGTCACATGGGGGTTTAATGGGAAAATCCATTTCACTGCTACTTATACAACTTTTTAGGTAGATCCAAAATACGTCAAGCAGGAGAATTAGCTCATTGCTTTGCTTCCACTGGCAGGTTTTGAAGCTTTACTGGAAAGGCTTTTCAGCTATCATCCATGAATTTCTCTCTTCTTATTTATGCATTTCCGTAAGAACAGGGCCGCAGTGGTTGGCCCCAGCGTTCTTCCCGATCTAAGCAGTGGCTTTGCTGTTGGCATACATCTGTGCAAGCTTGCAGCTTACTGTCAGCCCCTCTTTCACTTATCTCCACTGGATCTCAAGGTTGAAGTAAATGAAGAATAGCTTTTACCTTATCAGAAGCTGAAAGCCAAATCCTTTTGGTCAAAATATGATTCTTGACTTACTTGATAGTTTTCCCTTGCTGTATCCAACCCAATAGCTTTGTGGCTAATAACCAAATAGAATTAGTGTTGTGCACTTACCTTGTGGCAGGTGGTGACTTATCTGCTTTACGTGTTTAACTCAATCCCTCAACAACTCTGTGAGATAGCTGCAATCAGACTTTATGCTGATGCACCCTGTAGCAACGTGAATTTGGAAATAACACAGTTGTTGCCTATCTTCAGGCAACCCTTTCTAGAGAAGTGGGTCCTCTGGTCTCCACTGTTGGCCTGGTCCATCTTCCCAGATTCCAGCTGTCTGAAGCGGCTCCAGCTAACTTGCAGATGCTTGGCTTCACTGCTTCATGGCTTCAAATCCCAGCCAGATATGGGATCCAGGATTGTTCACATGGGTGTTGCTGCTGGAGTGGACGACTGCCGACAGATGGCACCCTACTGGGGTACCCTATGCCCAGAGCTCTTGGCTGTCCGCCATGGCTCGGTCACTTTATTAGTCCCCATACAACCTACATGTTATGTGACTGACACTATGTAGACCTTCTGAAGATGAATAATGGATTATTTAACGGGATCAGGATGAATGCTAACGTAAGAAAGATTTTTAATCCCAAAGTAAGAGATTGTGATGCTGAGAAATTGTGACCCATTCAAGACCCCCTCTGAACAATGGTCATTTGTGAATTTGGTCTCCATATGATAAATTCTTCTTACGACTGAGAAAATAAATTGCATAGACGAAGCTGCCTAGTTATAAAGGGTGTGGTTGAGAAATCTGTCTATGTAACTGTAACTTTTGTTTCTTGAGTCATAACAATTATATACAGATCCTTCCCGTTCTGGCCAACTGGAGGGACCTGTTAATCTGTGAACGTTAGAGCCAGTGTTTTTCCTTAATTCAGAGAATCTTGCGTATAATAGACTCTCATTGTGTGTTGGTCGAATTGTTTTCAGATAAAGTCTTACTGAAAGTCTACTTGTTTCATGAAGTATTTCACTTTCTATAAACCAAGTCTTTGTGAGTTCTTCGATTCTCACTATTTACTTTTTTAAGTTGTGAGTTCCTGCTGTTTCTCTGATGTGTCAGACTGTCGGAAGCAGGTTGTCTTTTTGTTGCCTGTTTTCTTTTGTGTGAGTCTTAGTCATCGATTAAGTCTGCTGATAGAGCGACAGCTAGTTCTGGTTTGCCTGGGACAGGCTGTGGTGCATCCACTGTTATGGCTTAATTATTAATAGCTTCCTTTTTCACCCTCAGGACTACTTGGTTTAGACAATAAATGATTTGGTCACTCTACTTAATAACAACTTTTAATTGTGAGTTCCCAAAAATTTTTAGGAGAAGGGGAAAAGAAAAACGTTTAGCTGAATTTTTTTTTTTTACCTTGTAGAACATATTTTTTCATTTTAATTAAATTAAATGAGACGAGATGTTACCTGTAAGTCTGTTCTTGAATATTGGTTAATGGAATGGTGCTTTTTTCTTTTTTTTCAGGTATTTTAACAGCAGTGATAACAATTTACAGTACTGGGGACTGGATTACCCACCTCTTACAGCTTATCACAGCCTTTTATGTGCATATGTGTAAGTTTTTCTTCCTTAATGTGACTCTAAATGTCTGTGCCCTTAGCAGATGTAGTGGGTGACAGTGTGATCTGGCTTCGAGTAGAGCAGACCATCTGTAACTACTGTTGTCTTATGAAACTTTGTGACACACTGTGCCTAACAGTCAGGCGGCCAGAGGTCAGCTGTCAGAGTCTGAGCATTGCTGTAAGTTCTTCGGAGGACAGGCTAGAAGGAAATGCAAAGTCTAGCTTTGTTCTGAAGCAGAGATGTTACCAGTCCTGCATGGACCACTGAGAAATAGATCAGGTGTGGGTAGTTGTGCACAGAAAGCTTCTTTCTGGAATGGCCCAAAGTAAACGAAAATTGTAGGTCCAAATGGTACTCTGACTAACCGGTCAAGTTAGAAACTAGAATTACTGGATTTAAGCTCAGGGTTGGGATTCCTTCTGCTTTGACAGGAATGGGATGGTTTATGGAGATGAGGGGCTTCTGCTGGGTGGGGACCCGGCTCTGCTCTGTGGGGTCCTCCATCTCAGACCTGAAGTGCATCCGTGGAAATCTGAGGGACTTCTTCACAGAATCTTCCGAACTCATCTTATTTCTTTTACTACCTCATATTTTGTAAAATTTAACTTCATGGATTAAAAATAAGTCCCCAGACTTCACGATGATCAATTATCCTTTGCAGTGTTCAGGGTAATGCAGTATGATTAAAAACTTATTTTATCTTCACCAATTAGGTTTAGTTTTATGCAATGATGTATGATTAACACCTATTTATTGTAGCTGATTGTTGTAATAACTAAAATGATTATAAATTATAAAACTTGATCCTCTGGTCAATAGTGGCATATTGCTCTTTACAAAGTATGTGTTTAATAAAAGAAATGGGACACATCAGATTGTTTTTACCTGGAAGAATTGTGAAGGTAGGGATTTTAGTGACACGTTCCACAGTTTTGTTGGAAGATGAGCAAGGCAGACCCAGTTTTATAGCTCAAGACAGTGTCACATGATTAAATAAAAAAAGTCAAACTTAAGCCTTGCCTCTGTCGCTTTGTAAGAGCAGTGGCCACTTCTCAGAATAGCCTCAGATGTCCTCATTGCTGAGAGGATGAGGAATAAAGTGCATGTACATGTGCTCTGGTTCGCAGGGCCCAGTTTATCAATCCAGACTGGATTGCTCTCCATTCGTCCCGTGGCTACGAGAGTCAGGCGCATAAGCTCTTCATGCGCGCCACAGGTAAAGAGCAATGGGTATCGAGTGTGAAATTTGATTTCTAAAAAAATTTTGGACAAACTGATAAAAGGTTCTATTATTTCCTTACTGACTTTTAAAATTTTGTAACTATAGGGGCTGGCCTGGTAGCGTGGTGGTTGAGTTTGTGCGCTGTGCTTTGGTGGCCCAGGGTTTGCGGGTTTGGATCCTTGCATGGACCTACAAACCGCTCATCAAGCCATGCTGTGGCAGCATCCCACATACAAAATAGAGGAAGATGGGCACAGATGTTAGCTCAGGGACAATCGTCCTTAAGCAAAAAAATGAGGATTGGCAACAGATGTTAGCTCAGGGCCAATCTTCCTCACCAAAAGAAAAAATTGTGTAACTATACATATGCATGTATATGTACAATAAATGACCAAATGGATATGGAAGCTAAAAACAGAAGAGCAGAGACTAATGTGCTGGGTGGTTTGTGTCTATTATTATCCCACTTAATAACTAAACACCCAAATGAGGTAAAGACTATTTTACCCTTATCTTAAGCCGAGGAAACTGAGGCACAGTTAAGTGAGGTTAATAGCCCTCCAGGGGTCAGATAGCTATAAATTGAAGTTTTAGTTGTTCAGGCTGTTGCTTTAATATCCAAATTCCAAATCCTTTTCTCCTGTTTCTTAAAGTAAACCTTGCAGTTGTATCTCATACACTGTTGCTAAGTTAAATGCACTCATGGGTCGCCTAGCAATGGGGATGTGTTCTGAGAAAAGCGGTGTTAGGTGATTTCATCATTGTGTGAGCATCACAGGGTGCACTTACACGCACCCAGATGCCACAGCCTCCTGCACACCCAGGCTGTACGGTACTAATCTATGGGACCACCGTCGTCTGTGTGGCCCCTCTTTGACCAAATGTCATCATGCGGCATATGGCTAATCCACTCAACAAACGTTTATTGAGCATTTATTGTGTGCTGTTCTGAGTTGAAAGTAATACGCTTAGATTTCTTTGAAGCTTTGCATGACTTAGACTGTAGTGCTGGCCCGGGCCTTTTCCTTAATTAGTCTAAGATTGGTCAGCGTTCTCTTTACTGTTCATCTGCTCACAGAATCTCAGGCGCAGCTTCTCTGTCTTCCTCTCTTTTCCTCTCCCATTCTGTCCCCTCTTCCCCAGCGCTTTCATCCTCTGAACTGCACACTTGCCACGTGGTCCTTTTGCTTCTGAGCCAACCCGTGTATCTGCAGGGAACTCACAACCTTTACAGACAGTCTGCTCTGTGTTCAGGGAGCCCCAGGCATTAACAACTTCCTTCTTACGTTGACCCCCAACTCGTCATTTCAGCTTGTGTTTCCTTGGGCCACATGGAACACGTCTGATCCTTTACACCCGACACTGTACAGACATTTGAAGTCACCTCTTCTCTGGGGTATGCATTCTTAGATCTGTTAGCTGTTTCTTAGAAGACCCGTGTGTTGAATGTGTTTATGGCTTTGAGGCCTCTGGTTATGGTCCTTTGAATATGGTCTACTTTGTCAGTGTCATCTTAACTGTGGCACCTGGAGCTGAAAATAGGTTGCATGCATCTGACACTGACCGTTTACTATCATTTACCTTATTCTGGACGCTATATTTAGTACAAGAAAAAACAGGCTCTTTGGATAGCTATGTTGAAGAATGTCATGCATTTGTTTTCCTTTGTTCCAAAAGGACTGGACATTCAGAATTATGAATCACTTTTTGTTTTTTTTTTACTTTTTTCAGTTTCCTCCTCACATGGGCCTCTCAAGCTCTTTCTTTTGTTGTTGTTGGTTTGTTTGCCCTTTCTTTTGCGAGGAAGATTGGCTCTGAGCTAACATCTGTGCTAGTCTTCCCCTATTGTTTTGTATGTGGGATGCCACCACAGCATGGCTTGACCAGCAGTGTGTAGGTCTGCACCAGGATCCAAACCCATGAACCCTGGGCCGCCAAAGCAGAGTGAACGAACTTAACCATTATGCCACTAGGCCAGCCCCTCTCAAGCTCTTTATATACATTAATTAGGAAAATTTAATGTATTTTCTATAAATACTAACATTTAAAAAAGATTCTCCTATGCATCGCCACATTCGAGGTATTCTTCACACCAGAAAATCAGGAGTATACAGGTATTGAGGGAAAAAGTGTTGTCTTCCTTGCTTTGAGTATTCTTAATTTTCAAGTGTGAGTCAGAGCAGAGAGAGGATTAATTTGGGAACGTGTAATTGGTGTAATGTGTGGCTTTGTTAGAGAAAATTGAAAGAGGCTTTGTGGCACCGAATCAGTTGAACTTCGGCGCAGGGCAAGGGAGCGGAAGGGCTTGTCCAGAGCGCGTGGGAGCCGCGGTCCTAGGATCCCCCTCACGGTTGGAGGGCGGGAGGCAGTTAGTGGGGTATTGTAGATCACGATGGACTCACGCTAAAAATCGTTTGCTTGTGTTTCAGTGTTAATTGCTGACTTGCTGATTTACATACCTGCAGTGGTTCTGCACTGTTGTTGTTTAAAAGAAATCTCAACCAAGAAAAAGGTGAGTTTTAAAGCAAACCCGGCATTTTACCTCTGAAACGCTTTATTAGCGTAACTATGAAAACAAAGCTTAAGGAAGCCTGCTTTTGGGAGGAGATAAGAGGAAACAGTATATCTTTTGTCGATTTATTTTCATTTAGAAAACATCAACTGATCTGAGAGTAATTGTTTTAATGCTCGACTCTAGTAATAAGATGCCCTGAGTTTCACAAGTTAAGTGCTGCTGAATTTGTTGCTTTCTTGGTAAATCGGACTTCGAGTGGGCTTGTGAGAATGGCTAAACTGAAAGGCGTTTTGCAAAGTTGCTGTATGTTCTCGTGTTCACAGTTAACGAGTATTCTTTTTGGTCATTTTATATGGGTTAATCATTAGATTAACTTCTCTGATTTGTATATCTAAAAGCATTTTCTCTGACAAATACCTTTCAGTGATTTTTTCCCTTTTTACTGAAGTATCCTTTGTCACCTCCTTGAAAACTTTAGTGTTTAAAGAGTTGTTTTGTAAAAATGGGATCTTCATGTAAACAGAAGGTAAGAGGGGAGCGTTTGCTGCTGGGTTGAATGGAACTGCACCTTGACCCTGTGTGATGCAAGGAATAGATTACTCTCTCATTTCACAATATTTTTCTTTACAGATTGCTAATGCGTTATGCATATTGCTGTATCCAGGCCTCATTCTTATCGACTATGGACATTTTCAGTATCCTTTACTAATTGAGAAATGAAGTCAGATGCGTATGATGAAGTCGAGGCCCAATCTGTGTAGCATTGTCCTCCACTAATGTCTTTCCAGCATGTCTGTGCGAGGTTTTCCTGTGGTTGTGTGTGGCTGTAATTGTCCACTGCTGTGGCTTTATCATATTCCATGGCGTGGACACGCATAATTCTATTACTGACAGGCGTTTGGGTGGTTCCCAGGTTTTGGCTCTGATGAATATGCTGCTGTGAACATTCTTGTAAATATCGCTTTGCACACCTAGAAATACATTGCTTATGAGTGGAATTGCTGAGTTAAAGGTGTGGCCTTGTTTAACTGTAGATCTTCTCAGATGGTTTTGAGCACGATGCCCCAGTTAACACCCCATCTGCAATGGTGTGACAGGGCCAAGTGCCCGTCTTCACCAGTGGTCAGTCATTTTCACTGTAACCAGTCTGGTCAATTTGTAGTGGTATCTCCTCTGTGACTTGAATCAAATTCTTGAAGATTTTGGGATTATGTCGTTTTGTAGGGATACATTTATTATTCTTTTTAATTTTATTGAGATCATAATAGTTTATGGCATTGTGAAATTTCAGTTGTACATTAGTATTTGTCACTTACCATATAACTGTGCCCCTTTACCTCTTATGCCCACCCCCAAGCCCCTGCACTCTGGTAACCACTAATCTGTTCTCTTTGTCCGTGTGTTTATCTTCCACATATGAGTGAAATCATATGGTATTTGTTTCTCTCTGTCTGGCTTATTTTGCTTAACATAATACCCTCAGGGTCCATCCATGTTGTTGCAAATGGGACGATTTTGTCTTTTCTGGCTGAGTGGTACTCCATTGTATTTATGTAGCCCACATCTTCTTTACCCAGTCCTCAGTTGATAGGCACTTGGGCTGCTTCTGTGTCTTGGCTACTGTGAATAGAGCTGCGATGAACATAGGGGTGTGTACGTCTCTTTGAATTGTTGATTTCAAGTTCTTTGGACAAATACCCAGTATTGGGATAACTGGGTCATATGTTATTTCTATTTTTAATATTTTGAGAAATCTCCGTACTGTTTTCCATAGTGGCTGCACCAGTTTGCATTCCCACCAGCAGTGTCTGAGGGTTCCCTTTTCTCCACATCCTCACCAACGTTTGTTCTTTTTTGTCTTGGTGATTATAGCCATTCTAACAGGTGTAAGGCGATATCTCACTGTAGTTTTGATTGGCATTTCCCTAATGATTAGTGATGTTGAGCATCTTTTCATGTGCCTGTTGACCATCTGTATATCTTTTCTGGAGAAAGGCCTCTTCATATCCTGTGCCCATTTTTTGACTAAGTTGTTTTTTTTTGTTGTATGAGTTCTGTATATATTTTGGAGATTAACACCTTGTCAGATATATGATTTGCAAATATCTTCTCCCAGTTAGTAGCTTGTCTTTTTGTTTTGTTCCTGGTGTCCTTTGCCTTGTAAAAGCTCCTTAGTCTGATGAAGTCCCATTTGTTTATTTCTTTTCTTTGTTTCCCTTGCCCAAGTAGACATGGTATTCAAAAGACTGATGTCGAAGAGTGGATTGCCTGTATTTTCTTCTATGAGTTTTATGGTTTCACGTCTTACCTTCAAGTCTTTAATCCATATTGAGTTAATTTTTGTGTATGCTGTAAGATAATGGTCTACTTTCATCCTTTTGCACATAGCTGTCCAGTTTTCCCAACACCGTTTATTGAAGAGACTTTCCTTTCTCCAATTGTATCTTCTTGGCTCCTGTGTTGAAGATTAGCTGTCTGTAGATGTATGGTTTTATTTTGGGGCTTTCAGTTCTGTTGCATTGATCTGTGCACCTGTTTTTGTATCAGTACCATGTTCCATGCTGTTTTGATTACTATAGTTTGTAGTATCTTTTGAAGTCAAGGACTGATGCCTCCAGCTTTGTTCTTTTTTCTCAGGATTGCTTTAGCAATTCAGGGTCTTTTGTTGACTCATAAGAATTTTAGGATGCTATGTTCTATTTCCATGAAGAATGTCTTTGGGATTCTGATTGGGATTGCATTGAATCTGTAGATTGCTTTGGGTAGTATGGACATTTTAACTATGTTTATTCTTCCAATCCAAGTGCATGGAACTTCTTTCCATTTCTTCATGTCATCATTGATTTCTTTCAGTAATGTCTTATAGTTTTCATTGTATAGGTCTTTCACCTTTTTGGTTAAATTTATTCCTAGATACTTTATTCTTTTTGTTGTGATTGTAAATGAGATTTTATTCTTTTTTTTTGTTTTAAAGATTTTATTTTTTCTTTTTCTCCCACAGCCCCCTGGTACATAGTTGTGTATTTTTAGTTGTGGGTCCCTCCAGTTGTGGCATGTGGGACGCCGCCTCAGCATGGCCTGATGAGTGGTGCCATGTCCGTGCCCAGGATTCGAACTGGCGAAACCCCAGGCCGCCGAAGCACAGCGTGTGGACTTAACCACTCACCCACGGGGCCGGCCCCAGGATTGTGTTCTTGGGTTCTCTTTCTGTTAGTTCGTTACTAGAGTATAGAAATGCAACGGATTTTTGTAAGTTGATTTTGTACCCTGCAGCTTTCCTGGAGTTGTGGATTATTTCAAATAGTTTTCCAATGGATTCTTTAGGATTTTCTTTATATAAAATCATGTCTGCAAAGAGTGAGAGTGTCACTTCTTCAGTGCCTATTTAGATTCCTTTTATTTCTTTTTCTGGCCTAGTTGCTCTGGCCAAAACCTCCTGTACTATGTTGAATCATAGTAGTGAGAGTGGGCACCCTTGTCTTGTTGCTGTTCTCAGAGGGATGGCTTTCAGTTTTTCCCTGTTGAATAGGATGTTGGCTGTGGGTTTGTCATATATGGCCTTTATTAGATTGAGGTAAGTTCCTTCTATCCCCATTTTGTTAAGAGTTTTTAATCATAAATGGATGTTGGATCTCTTGTCAGATGCTTTCTCTGCAACTATTGAGATGATCATGTGGTTTTTTATTCCTCATTTTGTTAATGTGGTGCATCACGTTGATTGACTTGTGGATGTTGAACCATCCCTGCCTTGGGGACACATTTTTTAACCACTTTGTACTTCACTTTCCTCATAGAAATAGAGAAAATAATAACGCTTACTTTGTAAGTTTTTTTTAGAATTAAATGACTTAATCTTTGTAAAGCATTTAAAACGATACCTGGGAGCACTAGGCACTAAGTACTTATCGCTGTCGTTATCTGTTGCTGCTGCTGTTGCTGGTTTTCACTTTTCGGGCTCTGAGATTTTACTGCGATTTGTGTAGGCGTAGGTGTTTTGACAGCTGTTTTGCACTCTGTGGGTCATTCATTTCGAAAACTCACCTTCAGGTCTGTGAAATTCTCTCGTATTATTTCTTTGATAATTTTCTCACCTCATTCTTGCTCTTTTAGACACATGTTGATCTTTCGTGTCCATCTGGAGCATCTCTTTGTCTTTTTGTTTTATGGTTTCAGGATTATCTTGACTTTATCAGTAACACTTGTATTAAATTTCATTTGTTTTGTTAAGCATATCTTAAAGTTCAATTATTCTTTTTTTCCCCTACCCTTCCCTGAACTATTTCCATTCCTCTAGGGTCAGTCTTTCCTCTTTTTGTTTTGGTCTTTTTTCTGTCATAGCTTTTCCTTCGATGTCTCTTTGGTCCTGGTGTATCTATTCTAAGACTAAAGCAGAAGCACAAGCTGTCTGTGGGCTCTCTGTATTTGGTCCGCTGTAGGATACGTGGGCGGGAGCTGGCCAGTGTGGGTTGGGATCCGTAAATGTCCGAACACGGAGGGGTTTGCACTGTAGTGTTAACGTCTACACTAGCTGCCCCAGTAGTTTGTTCCATTTCTCTGGAGCAGTGTTCCTTCTTTTGTGGCCTGGGGGTAAATGTTTTGGCTGCCAGACAGTCTGCCCCGCGGGGAGGTGGGACTGGGTTCTCCATCTAGGGACCTGGTCAGTCCTCTTGTCTCCTTTCCAGCCTAGGCCTCGGCCACGCCACCTGCTGCTGCTTCCGGGCCCCTGGGGCGGGCAGAGGGGTGGCTCCTTGCTGCCTGAGCTTCCTCCGTGCTCTCTAAGGGGTGGCCTCTTCCATCCTGTTCTGAGTCTCACCACTTCTCTGTCTTCACTCTGTGTTCTAGATCTGTGCTGAAATCTTTACCTCTTGTAGCCATCTTCCTGTTCTCTTCATGGCTGTGAATTTATCCTTTTAAAAATTCCCTGTCATCTTAAGGGGCCTCGGGAAGGAGAGGAGGCAGACAGTGCTCAGCTCACCATTTTGAACTGAAAATCTAATTGCGATGTTGTTTGAATACAGTAATGTTGTTAGTTTCTAATCGAACACATATTAATTTATATTATTGATGCATATTATAGAGGAAGTATAGTGCTATCAGTAAGTTTTGTGGATTTTTTTTTTTTTTTTTTTTTTTACTTTTGGAGCATTGTTTAATTCTCTAGATTTTGCTAAGTTATAATGTTGCAAAATAGTCCAGCAGAAAGAAAGCTACATGTTAACTATTGAGTTCTTTTAAACCTAGACAAATTGGTTTAGCAGATTTAATATTTTTGAGGCCATTATATATAATTTGAAATCTGTTCATCAATCCAGTACTTTCATTTTCTATTTAGAAATAGCTCTCATTACATATATTGTTTTAAAACCACATAAGAGGGGGCTGGCCCAGTGGCATAGTGGTTGGGTTTCCGCGCTCCACTTTGGCGCCCTGGGGTTTGCAGGTTCGGATCCTGGGCGCAGACCTACATATGGCTCATCAAGTCGTGCTGTGGCAGTCTCCCCCACACAAAACAGAGGAAGACTGGCACACATGTTTGCTCAGTGACAATCTTCCTCACTGAAAAAAAAAAAACCAACACGTAAGAAATAGACTCATAAAACGCAAGATCTGTCTCCTTTGGTGACTGAGATAATTTCCTTGACGCAGGATCATGTATAACTCTGTGAGCCTTGGTTTGGCTCTGTGGGGCGTTCTTGGAGTGTCCTGTGACTGGGACCTGCTGGGGTCCCTGGCCTTCTGCTTGGCTGTAAATTATAAACAGATGGAACTTTACCACTCCTTGCCATTTTTTTGCTTTTTACTTGGCAAGTGCTTTAAAAAAGGCCTCAAAGGAAAGGGGTGAGTGGCTTTTAGTTACCGGCATTCGGAACATTGCCCGAGTTTGTCTGCACACTCGCCTGAGGGAGGTGGCCCTTCTCTTCGCCTGCTGGGGATTTCTTACTGACGTGGTAGCTGTGGGGTGAGTGGAAGGGGAGACGTCGTGTTCTCTATCTTTTATCTGAAATCCTCCTGCCTGGAGAGATGATTTGATCAGTGCACGTTCCCGGAGGTAGTTGGATTGGCTTTAGAGGGTGGCTGTAGATTTCGTCCCTCCAGGGCTTACTGCATTATACCCTTGTTAGAAGTACATCCCGGTTTGACACTTTTCTCCCTGGCTGCAGAGGAGTGGTGTCCAAGGTAAGCGTTGATGCAGATGGGGATCGCCTTCTGTTGGAGCAGTGCACATCTGAACAGCTGTGCGTGTCCTGACTCCGACTTGAGGAGACTCCCGTCTTAGCCCTGTGCTGGTGGCACCACGTGTCATCATCACTCGACGCTGGCGTCCTTACACTCAGCGAGAGCCTCCGGCCTGACTGGTCACCTCTGTTCCTGTTCCAGGTTCGTTCTGTTCGTTAAGCTGGCAGGCACCGTGGTGGCTTCCTTCACCCTCTGCTGGCTGCCGTTCTTCACAGAGAGGGCCCAGGCCCTGCAGGTTCTGAGAAGACTCTTTCCAGTCGATCGTGGATTGTTCGAGGCATGTTTAGAACCCTTCTTCTCGCTCCTTTCTGTGACAGCACACAGAAGACACACAGGAGTAGTAACTTCAGCCGCTCTCCTCTCCCAGCCCCCCTGCCGGTGTTTAAGCCTGTACACAGGCTCTGCTCAGCTGGCCCTTCCCAGGCACCATAGGAATGGGGAGTGCTTATGCCATCATGAGACCCGTAATTCAGTCGCATCATACCTTTTTCTAATGAAATAGGGTCTGTAATGAAAGACGGCATGAGAAGTTGCAGCTACAAAGTTCACAGCTCTGTAATTTTTTGGTTTATATTCTCTTTTTAGTCTTAGGAAATTATTTATTAAACTAATAATCATGTTTGCGTAAGAAAGATCTCATAATTCCTTATGAGATATATAACCTTCATCCATAGTAATTTTTAATGAGAATCATTCATTTCATTTCATTTAATGCTAGCTTAATCACTCTTGTTAAACTTTTATTACATGGATAATTTGATTTAGATTTAGTAATTAAATTAAACAAATCATTTTTCTGAAACAAAAAGGCCTTTTAATAAAGTTAAAGAGAGACAACATATTTATAGATAATTTGCTTTTGAATAAACATTTCTTTTAAAAAGAGTTAGAGAAGCATATATATCTTCCTAATTTTTGAACATACAAATTGCTATGGAATATCTTTGAGTGGCTCTACAGGAGGATGGAACCAGCATTTTGAAAGAGACTAAGAGTTTGGTGTTGTGAAGGAACAGAAATGTGTGTGTGACGTGTGTGTCTGTAGGCATGGTGATGGTGGTGACACTGATCATCACAAATAATCACTATACTTCCCGCCACTTGCGTACCAGGTGCCAGACTCGCCACATGTGATCTTATTTGATCCTTAGAGTGGTCCTGAGGCTGCCGTTATACCCACTTTACAGATCAGAAAACCGAGGTCAGAGGTTCACACGGCTGGTGCATGGCAGGCCTGTGCTCCTCACTCCTTTGTATGTCCTCTCACCGTGACACCTGTAGAGGGAAAAGTTCAGTTCCCCGTGTAAGCTGTCCAGTGCTTCCATTTCAGAAATGGTGTTTACCGTGATAATTATAAAGACGGTACTATGCATGTTTGATGGGGCTGCTGGCACTTCCTTTGCTTGGTGCCCTCAGGGCCTGAGGAGCGTTCTCCTTGGTCTGACAGAGGGAAGTGGATGGTGCCGTTGTCACGATGTTGCGCCTGTGCGGCTGTGAGCGAGCAGCTGTGTGGAGGGGGTTTCACAGCAGAGTTGTGGTCCCAGATTCAATATTGAAAGGGATCCTAGCACAATTGCTAGTGTCTTTGAACTTCTCAATTAGCGATTAACTCTTGTCATTGCTAGAGCTAGTAGATTATTGTAAATAATTTCATGCATGTGATAAAATGGGCCAAGTAACAAAGATTTCTTAGAAAAATTTCCAAAGATGAATAACTTCAGTATTTAGGGATAACGTGCTGCTCTTTGAAAAATGTTAAGTATTTCTTGGGAACGTCTAGATTATGGTTGACTAGTGATTTAAATCAACTCCCATTTGTAAAAATGAAAAATGCTTGACTGTGTGAATGTGTGTTGAGTGTTTATTCCTTGGAGAGTTTAATCAACCTAGTTCTAAAATTGTGAACAAAAGCTTCCCATGGCTCAGAAGTTTGTTTATTTAGAGATTATGGACTGTACTTCATGGAGTTTAATATTTCTTTCAGTTATACCAGAATGTAAAACTAACAAATCTCTTTTAAGGATAAAGTTGCCAATATTTGGTGCAGCGTCAGTGTCTTCCTGAAGATCAAGGACATTCTGCCACATCACGTCCAGATCATAGTCAGGTGAGAGACGAGGTTGGGACGCAGAGTGGAAGCTGCTCTGTGAGCGTTTGGTAAGACCGCGTTTATCTGGCACTGTCAGGGAACGAGCGTTCTGCGTTAGTGGATGTTCCACGTTACGTAAACCTGTCTACACAACAAAACTCTTTCATGTGGAGGTTGTTACCCGCCTCCCTCCTCCTCCAACAGAGAGCATGCTGAATGTGACTTCACGTTGTCTTGAAGTCGTGATTTTCAGCGATGCATGTCAGCTCCACCACGGCAGTGGTGTGCACACGTGATGTGAGTTCATTCCGAGGGATTGGCTCATACAGCTGCAGGGCTGGCTGAGCACACTGGACGCCCACAAGGTGGGTGCTCAGGAAGGAACATCCTGGGGAAGGAAGAGCAACCCAGACCGGCTGCGGTTCGGAGGCCCTGAGCCCTCTTGCAAGGGCCTCTGGCTGGTGGGGTCGGCCCACCCCACAGGTTCCCTGTAGATTGACTTAAAGTCAGCTGACTAGGGACTGTAATTACATCTGCAAAACCTCTTCACAGCGGCAGCAAGATGAGTGTCTAAACAACTGGGAGAAGGGTGTGTGTGTGTGCGTGTACGTGCGCGCACCACAAAATGGGTGCTGCTTCTCCCTGTCCTGCAGTTCTTTTGAGAACACCCTTGTAGCCCACGGTGGCAGGTGGCATACTAAAGAGAGGATTCAGGGAACCCAGTTCGGCCTAGCCCAGCCGACACCCCACACAGCCACCACAAGTGGAGGATGAGCCGTCGCATTGCGCCAGGCTGTTTCGGGCCTTCAGAGGCTGTTTGCCTGGCACCTCCCGGCCGCACACGGCTCTGCCTGCCGCCTTCTTTTTCCTCCTCGCCCATCGGCCATCACTAGGAGAAGCCCTGGCTGCTTCCTGCTCCCTTTCTGACTTGTTCTTTCTCAGTTACCACGGGCTTGAAAATCAGATAATCAGCTTTTATGAAATGGGGGCCAGAGAGATTCTCCTGTGAGTAAATTTTATGAATGTTTGTGTTCCAAATGCAGCATTCTCTCTTTATACCTAGTCATGTTTTCTTATTTTGAGTGTAGGATAATTGACTATTAGCTATCTTTGTAACTTTTTTATAAATAATACTAAAATAATATAAGCAACATTTAGTACTATCATGTTTTATTCTGTATTATATAATCATATATATTAAAATGTACATATTTCAATGTGTGGATTTTATTTAAATGTTATTTGGTCTTAAATGTAGTAAGTAAAAATAAACTAATTTGAATTCAACTTAAATTGATAAGTAGTGTAATCCTTTTATTAAAAATTAGATTTTTGTTTCAGCTATACACCTCTACAAAGAAAACAAACGTTTTATTTTTGTTGATTTTTTAGCTTTTGTCTTACATTGTTGAGCCTGCTTCCCGCATGTGTAAAACTGACGCTTCAGCCCTCCCCAAAAGGATTCAGATTTACTCTGGTAAGTTTCTCATTACCTTAGATACTTAATTCTTGCTGCAGCTGATCTTTTCAAAATACAGATAATTATTCTCTTGCTCTGAACAGGATTTATTGGATTGGGAAACGGGACATCCATTTATCAGGTGAACATTTACTGAGTGTCTGACATACTTAGGTGCTGTGTTGGGCACTAGGCTGAGCAATCAGAATCTTCTCAGTTTAACTCAACAACTGCTTGATTTCTTCTCTGTATCAGTGAGGGAATGAATACAAAGAAGGAAACATGGTGACAGATGTGCTTAAATCATAATGTGGTAGGGGCTGGCCTGGTGGCGCAGCGGTTAAGTTTGCACGTTCCGCTTCTCGGCGGCCCGGGGTTCGCTGGTTCGGATCCCCGGTGCGCACACGGCACTGCTTGGCAAAAAGCCATGCTGTGGTAGGCGTCCCACGTATAAAGTAGAGGAAGATGGGCATGGATGTTAGCTCAGGGCCACTCTTCCTCAGCAAAAGGAGGACTGGCAGTAGTTAGCTCAGGGCTAATCTTCCTCAAAATAAATCATAGTGCGGTCAAGCAGGCGCTGTTAAGTTCTCTCAGGTCCAGTTAAGTGCGACGGTCTTGCGGGAAAAGGAGCTGTTACTTTGGGCTCAGGTTTTAGATTCTTAGAGCAAGTGGGGTTGGAGCCAGATTTTGAACGCTGGGCAAGATTTGGAACAGGAGGTTCTCTAGCAGAGAGAATGCGAGACAGGAGGGGGAGCGAGAAGGTCAGAGGAGGGAGACGGCGGGGAGCTCGGGGCACAGCTGCTGAACAGTGCAGTCTGTGTGGCTTTCCTGTGTTTGTGGAGCTTAGGAGAGCGCTGAGTGGGAGAAAAGAGTCAGAAAGGATCAAATTGCATAAGAAGACCTTGAACTTGAGGTTGGAAAAGTTGGACTTTGATTTGTTGCAAGAGGAGGCAAAAAAGGTTTTTGAGAAGGGGCAGGGACCGATCTCTGCTTTAGGAAGATGACTCCGGTCAGTTTGAACATGGATTGAGAATATTTCCTACAGTTTAGGGTTTCTCTGAGTGGGTTTACAAATTTCTCCTGGTTGTATTTCTGTGGTATTTAAAATTTTGTTCCTGTGTACCTTGGTCTATAAAACGACATTTAAACAATATCAAGAAAATTTAGTTTATGAAAACAGTAAGTCTTAGTGAACTTATAAGGGGACAGCATTTCAGAAATTAGGGTTTCAGCTCTGGGACTGCCACTTATTTACGTTGCATTCTGAAAACAAGCCGGAACACAGCATCAAGGTGAAGTGTTTCAAAGGTGTGTATCAGTACCACGTGCAGAAAGGGTCGCTTCCTGGTGCTCTTTTCCTTTCCTTACCTTTTTGTTGAGGATTTCTGTCGTCTCATCCTGTGAATGAACTCCCAGCGTATGGAGTCATCGCGGCTCGTGTTCTACGGGACGGTTAGAACAGGAGGGACGTGGTTAGTAATGCTCTCTTGTCTTTAATGGCCTAACTGGAAATATTTGCAAGCTTATGTGAGATTATATTGTTTTTCTGGGAAGTAGCATGCTAAATAAAGGTATATTTCAAAGATAAGGGGATGGAATTTCAGAGTTTGAGTAACTGCGGCAGTGTTAGAGGATCATTTTCAGGATTGTAGGCTAGAAACATTTTCTTTCTCTTAATTTCCTAATTTTACTCTATTTGCTATGTTTTAATATAAGCCACTGTGTTTAAAAAATAAAAAAGACTTAATGACTTTTGTTGCTTTATTTTTGTTGGTAATATTTTGAGTTCTTATTAAATACTTCTGAGCTTCAAAAACATTTCCCGTTATACTTTAGTGTTTTCCTTTCAGTCAAGATTGAATTAGTTCTCAGTATAAGTCTATAATTGAGGTAATTGACAGTATGAACGCTAATACATCTATAGCAGCAAGATGATCTGTATTTAATGTGTAAGTGGGATTTATTACGTGGTCTGCAGGACACCAGGCCCTTTTCTGGGTTCTGGCGTGTAAGTGAATGCCGCCAGCATCCCTGCCCTCTTAGTTGGGGCCATTCATGCTCGTGGCAGGAGAAGGACCATGAACAAGATAAATCAGTTACCAAGCAGACGGCTGGCAGTGAGGCGGGCTGGGAAGAAGACAGTGTATGTGGAAGGAGTGCTGGTGGGGTTTGGTTACTACTTTAGACTGGGTGAGGGAAGGCCATCCTAGGGCGTATGAGCCCAGAACCGAATGACTGACCAGAACGGGCAAGTTTTTCCTTAAGGCAGGAACACGTTTGACGGGTTTGAGACATAAAGGGACAGGTGTGACGTGGCTGGTGTGCAGTGAGGGAGGGCGACGGTAGGAAATAGCCTGGAGGAGGAAGGCTGGACCCAGGTCACGGAGCAGTTGGGGTTTTATTCCGAGTGTCAGGGGAGCTGTGGAGGGAAATCGATGGGGTCTGACACGGTGGCCGAGTGGAGTGGACTGTAGGGAGGCAAGCGTGTTAGCAACCAGGAGGTTACTGCAGTGGTCCGAGGGAGAGACGGGGGAGGCCAGAGCACTCCTCTGCGGCCGTCAGCAGAGGGGAGTGAGAGAGGAGGGTGGGTCCTGTGTGCGGGAGGCGGCTGGACGTACACGAATAAGATAGTGATCTAGGGTGTTTGCTTGAGCAGCTGGACTGGATGTATGTAGATCCATGTCCACCGTGCAGAATATCGACTTCTGAAAACAGATGCAAGTGATTTTATTTACAACCTCAAGTAGCAAATGATTACTTTATAAAACGTTTAATATGTTTTATTGAAGTGTACCTTTTAAAAACACTAAAATAGATTGTTTTACCAGTTTTAGATTTGACCCTGTTCTTCATGCCTTTTATTTTAAATTGTCAGAGATTCCAAGGGAGGCCGAAGGTACGCTGCTGAAGTAGTCAGTACTTTTGTTTATCAATAATTGAGTCTCAGTGAACTTGTTGCAGATGGTTAAGTATAGCTTTATAATCACTGTTTTTTCAAAAAGTATTTTGATTAAATTTGAATAAAATATTATGCATATTAGTGTTGTATATATACTTTCCTTCTAGATAGAAGCTACATTAAGCTTTAAAATTTTCCTTGAAATGATATTTATTTAGATTCATAATTAAATTGCTTTTATATTTTACAAGTTGTAATATTTCATTTCTCCCCCTTTTTCCTTGAAGGTTAGCTGTGCACTGTCATTCTTTTTATTTTCTTTCCAAGTACACGAAAAGTCCATTCTCTTGGTATCATTGTAAGTAAAGATGTTTCAAAAGTATGTGTTTTATTTATTTATTATTATGTTTTATAATTTATAAATTTATTACTTACATATAATCATGTAAGTGCAAAACAAAACTATATAAATGTTATACAGTTGCATAAAATTATTTCATAAAATCATGTTTTTTCCCAGAATGATCTCTTATAATTTTACTTCTTTATAAAGTATAATAGTTGAAACTACAAAGAATTCACAGAACCATTACTGATGACTTCCTTCCTGTTTCTTCCTGTGTACTTTCCATACGCTCATAACAAATGTCTTCTGAACGGCTCCTCCGAGGGAGCCTGCTGTCCTCCCTGCCTTCTCTGCTTTGCTCGTTTCCGGGCTGCTCAGCGGCCTTGTTCTCTCCAGTCACCTCTTTAGGGGCTTTCCCATGTCTTTTGTCCAAACCTTTGTTTAGACCCTGTCAGCAATCCCTAACCGGACTACTCTATTTTAGGAGACTGAAAATCTTCTCCTGGTCTTTGTAGAAATCGGGTCACAGTTGGGGGAATATTATCCCAGTATTAAAATAGTATTTGCCCAGAACCCACTGGGATCCTTGAATCCCGCCCCCGGTCAGCCCCAGCCAGTGACCACTCCAGCCCTCTCCTGTGGAGGAGCTCCGTACCAGATGACTGGCGAGGGGTGGAAGCAGCATCGCTCGTATCAGCGTCGCTCAGCACAGAGCCGGGCAGTGAGCTGCGCTGGCCTGTTGGGGAGGCTTCTTTGCTCTGAACGGAATACTGCCACAGACGGGGGGACCACTGCCTTCATCCCCCGAGGTCTAAACCTGAGTCAGGTCGTACATGCTTACGTGAGGCGAGGCTGACCCTACACAAGCTCCTAGGGCCAGGGGATGGAACTTGGGAGAGGTACTGCTTCCAAACGTGTATTTTCCCCAGAACTTCTACCCCAGGGAAAGGCAGCTCCTTCAGTGACCTGTAATCTGACCATTCAGATTGACTCTCAGGCCCCGAATTTCTGGGGGTTCATACTCAACAACTATACCTAGATTATTGATAACAGAGCATGGCTTTAATACAATTTTTTTTAAGCATGACTTTTTTTTTTTTTTTTTGCTGGGAAAGAGTTGCCCTGAGCTGACATCTGTTGCCAATCTTCCCTTCTTTTTTCTCCCCAAAGCCCCAGTACATAGTTGTATATCCTAGTTGTATGTCCTTCTAGTTCTGTGAGCCACCACCACAGCATGGCTACTGAGAGACGAGCAGGTGGTTCCATGCCTGGGAACTGAACCCGGGCCGCCAAAGCGGAGCAGGCTGAACTTTAACCACTAGGCCATTAGGGCTGGCTCACTTTAATGTAATTTTGATCATATGTTTTAGTTAGTATTGAAAGTTCCCCTTGGCCTGGTCCCAGCAAGTCTGTCATTAAACAGATATTTCATTCAGTCAACACTTACTGAGTGCCTCCCGTCTGCCAGGTTCTCTTCTGTGCGTGTGAGATATATCCGTGAACAAGACAGACAAAAACCCCTACTTTCTTAGCTTTCATTCTCAACGACAGGTATTGATAATTAAATAAAAATAGTAAATTAAATAGTGAGTGAGAAGGTAATAAAGGCCACAAGGGGAACTGAAGCAGGGTAGGAAGTGGGGCGTACTAGAGGTGGGGGCACGGCAGCAAGTGCAGGCTGCATCTGAAATGCAGCCGTCAAGGCAGGCCTCTGAGGAGAGACCTGAGGGGACTGGAGGAGGCAGGAGGTGGCTGTGTGTGTAGCTGGGGGAGGAACATTCTAGACAGAGGCAACAGCCAGTGCCAGGGTCCTAAGATGAGAGTTGCCCAGTACGTTTGGTGAACAACAGAATGGCCGTGTGGCCAGAGTGGGGAGAGAGGCAACAGGTGCAAATTACAGAGGACCATCTCGGCCACCTTAGGAACTCTGGCTTTTATTCTGAAGGAAATGGGGAGCCATGGTAGAGTTCTGAGGAAGCAGCATGATCTGATTTGATGTTTTAAAAGGATCACTCTGCTTATCAAACTATACATATTAAATACATGCAGTTCTTTGTATGTCAATTATATTTCAATAAAGCTGTTAAAAAAATAAAAGGACCATTCTGGCTGCAGGTCAAGAACAGACTGCATGGAGCAAGGGTAGAAAACATGGAGGGCATTTAGAAGGCTGTGGCCAAAATCCAGGTGAGAGGGTGGTGACTGGGACCAGGATAGTGACAGCAGAAGAGGTGAGAAGGCTTCCTGATGACTTGGAGGGAGCATCTGAGAGAAAGAGAAAGGTCAAAGGTGTGTCTGTGGTTTTTAGCCTGGAACTGGAAGGATGGAACAGCCACTGACCAAAATGGGGAGGCTTGCAAGAGGAGCAGGATTAGGCTAGATGTGGACAGGGTGGGAGGTTCCTGAGTTCAGCGCTGGATTCTGGACATCCAAGCACGGATGCTGAGTCAGCATTTAGATGGAGTCTGGGTGGATATATAAGTGGAGGTCCAGAGAGAGGCTGAGCTGGAGATACAAATTGAATAGTTTGTCAGTAGAGACGACATTTAATGTCATGAGACTGGATGCGATCACCAAGGAAGTGAGTATAGACAGAAGAGAGTCCCAGGGACTGAGTCCTGGGCCACACAATGTCATGCGGAATCTGATCACAGAAACTGACTCTAGATACAGAGAACGCCTGGTGGTTGCCAGGGGCGATGATGGGTGAAGGTGGGCAAAGGGTACAGACTTCCAGTGCTAAGATGGGTAAGTTCTGGGGGTCTAATGTACAGCTTGGGGACTGTAGTTACCAGTGTTTAACAGGTATTGTATACTTCAAAGTTGTGAGAGAGTGGATTGTAAAAGTTTTCAACACACACACACACACACACACACACACACAGGTAACTGAGTTGATGGATGTGTTAACTAACCTCGCTGTGGTAATTGTTGATTGTGCAGTCTACACCTCCGTCAAGCAATCACACTGCACACCTTAAACTTACACAATGTTGTATGTCAATTATATCTCAAAAAAGCTGAGAGAAAGGACACGAGGTGATCAGTTATATCAGATGCTGCTAACAAGTCAGATAAGATGGGGGCTGAGAACAGATTGTTTGCCTTAGCAAAATGGGAGTCCCTGGTGACTGTGACAAGGCTGGTGCTGGTGGATGATGCCAGGAAGAGCCTGATGAGGGTGGGTTTAAGAAACAGTGAGAGGAGAAGAATAGAGGCCAACATAGAGAATTCTTTTTTAAAAAAGAAATTATATATATATATCTTTTAATTGTGGTAGAATACACCATTAGTACATTCACAATCTTGTGCAACCATCACCACTATCTTCTTCCAGAACATTTTCGTCACCCCAAAAGGAAGCCCTGTCCCCATCAAGCAGTCACTTGCCCTTCTCCCCTCCCGCGAGTCCTCATAACCACTGATGCACTTGCTGTCTGTGCATTTGCCCATTTGGACATTTCATAGGAATGGAATCATGACTGCGTGGCTTGTGTCTGAGCACTTCCACTGAGCATCATGTTTCAGAGTTCGTCTGGGTGGTAGCGTGTATCAGGACTTCACCTTTATGCCTGAGGGACACTGCAGTGTTTATCCTGCACCAATTGATGGACGTTGGGCTTGTTTCCACCTTTGGGCTCTCGTGGATGGTGCCGCTATGAACATTTGTGTGTGAGTTTTTCTTGTTTTCAGTTCTCTTGGGTCTATACCCAGGAGTGGAATTTCTGGGTCATACAGGAGTTCTATATTTAACTTACTGAGGAACTGTCAAACTGTTTTCCATGGTGGTTGTACCATTTTACATTCCCACCAGTAATATCAGATGGTCCTAGTTTCTCCGTAGCCTTGTCAGCACTTGTTATTTTCTGTTTTCTTGCCATCCTAGTGGGTCTGAAGTGCTGTGTCCTGTGGTTCTGATTTGCATTTCCCTAATGACAATGATGTTGAGCATCTCTTTATGTCCCTGTTGGCAATATGTCTACCTTCTTTGGAGGAATGCCTACTTAAATCCTTTGCCCAGTTTTTAACTGGTTGTCTTTTTGTTGTTCAGTTTTAGGAGTTCTTTATATTCTGGATGTTAAACCTTTATCAGATACATGATTTGCAAATATTTTCTCTCATTCTTTGGATTTTAAACTTTTTTTTTTTTGGTGAGGGAAATTCACCCTGAGCTAACATCTGTGCCAGGCTTCCCCTATTTTGTATGTGGGATGCCACCACAGCATGGCTTGATGAGTGGTTGTAGGTCCACACCCGGGATCTGAATCCATGAACCCTGGGCCACCAAAGCAGAGTGTGTGAACTTAACCACCACACCACTGGGCTGGTCCCCCTCTTAACCTTCTTGATAGTCTTCTTTGATGCACAAAAATTTTGGGCTTTTTTGGCTAAGGAAGATTTGCCTGAGCTAACCTTCATTGCCAATCCTCCTCTTATTTTGCTTGAGGAAGATTAGCACTGAGCTAACATCTGTGCCAGTCTTCTCTGGTTTTTTGTATGTGGGACACCACCACAGCGTGGCTGGTGAGTGGAGCAGGTCTGTGCTCAGGATCTGAACCTGTGAACCTGGGCCACTGAAGTGGAGCGTGCAGAACTTTAACCACTCGGCCACGGGGCTGGGCCCTGTACAAGTTTTTAATTTTGATGAAGTCCAGTTTATCTATTCTTTCTTTTGTTGCTTGTGCTTTTGGTGTCGTATCAAACAAACCATCGCCAAATCCAAGGTTAATAAAGATTTACCCTCATGTTTCTTCTAAGAATTTTATGGATATAGCTCTTCTTTCTTGTGGATTTAGGTCTTTGGTCTATGTTGAGTTAATTTTTGTATATGGTGTGAGATAGGTAGACAATTTTCTTCAGATGAGTTTTGCTGAAAAGGGGAGCAGGAAAACAGAGCAATAACTGGTAGAGAAAGTGGGGTCAAGAGAGATGTTGTTTGTCTGAAGACAGGAGGATAACAGCATGGGAATGGTCCGTCGAGGGAGGGAGAGGTGAGAGTCGCTGGAGCCGTGTCCTTCAGAAGGGAGGGGGTGGGATCTGGGGCACAAAGGGAAGAATGGGCTTTGGGCAGATGCATGATGGTTCATCTTAATAAAAAGGGGGAGCAGGTGACACTGGTCCAGATGCTGGGGAGAGGGTGGATGTGACGGTAGCATCTGTGGAAGCACCTTCTTTTTTTTAAAGATTTTATTTTTCCTTCTTCTCCCCAAAGCCCCCCGGTACATAGTTGTATATTTTTAGTTGTGGGCCCTTCTAGTTGTGGCCTGTGGGACGTGGCCTCAGCATGGCCTGACGAGCGGTGCCATGTCTGCGCCCAGGAACCAAACCAGCGAAACCCTGGGCCACTGCAGCGGAGTGCGTGAACTTAACCACTCGGCCACGGGGCTGGCCCCTGGAAGCTCCTTCATTTGCTTCAGTTTTCTTACTGGAGTGAAGGGCAGGGTTATTAGGCAAGGGTGGGGTGGAGCTCTTAGGGGTATGAGGAGAGAGAAGTTGTGAGTCATTTTTCTAAGTTGACACAGAGTATGAACAGACTCGGGTGACGTCCAGTAACTGTGGAACACTCGAATATCATGATCATGTATTTAAAGTGGGACAGTCGGGGGTAAATGTCCTCCTCCAGAGCAGTTGCTCAGTGCGGTTGGAGTAAGCGCAGGCGGACAGCTGGGTGCTTCCAGGTTCGTGGTTTTGCCTGTACGGGTAACTCACTTGCTCAGGCTTGAGTGAATGCATGGGAGTGAGTATGAAGTGACTGGCCCTAGCATTTAAGCTGGTGAAGCAGAGAAGAGGACGTCAGAGGAGTGAGCAAAGTGCAGAGGCGGCAGGAGCAGTGGACTGAAGGTCTTGGTGGGGTCAGACGACTGCTGGATTGGAGCACCGAGAGGTCGGAGAGAGGTGGGCATGCAGGGGACGAGTGGTGATTTCAGGGAGGTCCCAGTCTGGAGTGCGACTGCAGATGAGAGGAGTTCCGGCGCAGAGGTCAGAGTGTTGGAGGACCACGTGTATGTTCTGTGTTAAAATGTTACATCTGTATATGTTAAAGTTGCCAAGAATTAAGGGGGGTAGGGTCGTGAAGAGTGACAGTAAGTGAGGAGCTGAGCTTGGGAAGCGAGCCTCATGGCTGGTGGACAGTGACAGAGATGAGCAGTAATAGGGATAGGGCCTGATGACGCAAGATGCAGCGCTGGAGGCTGTTGGGTGGCGAGAGGGAGGCTGGGAGAGGTGGGAAGGAGCGGGGAGTCGTCTCCCTCCTGTGGCCCAGGTGTTTGAAGGCTGTGGAAACGAGGGCAGGGGGCAGCTTCTTGGTGCTGGCGGCGGGGTCAGGGGTGGTTGCGAACCCGGTGGTGGGCGTAAAGGGCGAGGAGAGGCGGAGGCCGTGGGTGTTGCTGCTGGACTGTAAAGGCCCTTGAGGTTAGGGCTGAGCTACAGTCACCTGTGTCTTCCCTTCAGAGCTGTGCTTGTACGTAATATGTTTTCAACAAATGCTGTGTTCAGTAAATGAATGCTGGATGAATGAACAGGAAAGAGTTAAGACCCAGAAAGGGAGGATAATGTTTACTGCGTCCCTGCCGTGTGCTTGTCATCAACGCGAACACATCCTGACGTGAAAAGCATCAGCCACGAAGCGGACAGTGCTCGAGTCCGGCTTCCGTGAGCCTCTTCCTGCTCCTTGTCCCTCTGCTTCTTCACCCCCGTCTGCCTGTCTCCCTTTTCAGTTGCTCTCTGCCTCTGTTGTCCTCTCTTCACTGGCGGATGATGATCCTGCCTGTTATAACTTTACTTTGTAACTCAGCTGAGTAATATGTCACACGGAGGATCTTAAAAAGAGAAGGTTCAAAACCACGGTACCAGGAACTCATTTCAGATGTACCAAGTGGGGTGAAATACATGGAAAAGCTCTTCCTCTGACTGTTCACCTCTGTGGATCTGATCCGGTCTTTAGCCTGCTGTTTGTAGGACAGAGAAAAGATGCTCCACGAATGGACTGCTGGAAGCCGTGTTTCTCCAGCGGTCAGGAGGAGGTAACACGCTGTGTCTAGACTCTCGTTTGGACTGAGAGCTATGAAGAAATGAGTCAGTAGCCCATAGGAGACCTTGCTGGCTGTTGTTTGTTTTTTTAGTTATCCCGAAAATCAGACAGAGAATGTTTATATTTTTTATAAGAGTTGAAATTATATTCTGTAAGATTAAAATATTTTTCTTTGTCATTTTAGACCAGTCTGCCTAGTTTTAAGTGAAATTCCTTTTATGTCTACTTGGTTTTTGCTTGTGTCAACATTTAGGTGAGTCAGACTAATTTCCATATCATGTTTTCAGTATAGTTCTTATAAACTCATTTAAAACTTTCTGACAAGGTGATTTCGGTTTGAATCGACAGTTCTCTGATGATGGTTTTCTGTTTTCCTGTGCAGTATGCTGCCGCTTCTCTTGAAGGATGACCTGCTAATGCCCTCAGTGGTGACAACGATGGCATTTTTTATAGCTTGTGCAACTTCCTTTTCAATATTTGAAAAGACTTCCGAAGAAGAGCTGCGCTTGAAGTCCTTTTCCGTGTCTGTTAGGAAGCATCTCCCACGCTTTACATTTCTTCCCAGAATTATACAACATTTGGTAAGTTGTTCAGTTTTTAAGGAATGGTGCTTAGCATGGCACTGTTTTTAAAAAATTACTGCAATATCTTTTTTCTTGCATTACTTTTTAAAGCTATAACTCATGTAAATTCGCCCAGAACATCCACCCATTTAAAGTGTGCAATTCAGCGGTTTTAAATATGTACACGAAGTTGTACAACCATGGTCTAACTTTAGATTATTTGCATCACCCCGAAAAGAGACCCCGTACCCATGAGCAGTCCTTACCCATTGCACCTCCCTGCCGCCCCGAGCCTTGCACAGCCACTGATCTGCTTGCTGCCTGTGGATTCGCCTGTCTGGACACTTCACAGAAATGGGGTGTGTTAGTCTGCTGGGGCTGCCTCAGCAAAGTACCACGGCCGGTGGCTTGAAGCAACAGACATGTACCTTCTCGCAGTCTGGAGGCCAGAAGTCCGAGATCAGGTGCCGTCAGCGCTGGCGTCTGCTGAGGCCGCTCCTCCCGGCTTGCCGGCCATCTGGCTGCGTCCTCACAGGCCTCTCTTCGTGTGCGTGTTAGACAGTGGTCTTTTGTGTGTCTCTTCCTCTTCTTAGGAGGACACCAGTACTATCAGATAAGGGCCTCACCCTTATGACGTCATTTAACCTTAATTTACCCTCCCCCAGATTTCTATCCCCAAACGTAGTGGCACTGTGGGTAGGGCTTCAACGTAGGAATTTTGTGGGGTTCTGTTACATGGAATCATACGAAATGTGGTCTTTTGTGACTGGCTTTTTCCCTTAGTGTGTTTTTGAGCTTCACCCGTGTTGTGGCGTGTATCAGTAGTTCAGTCCTTTTTTATTGCCAATTATATTTCCATTATACGGGTATAGGGCACTTTGTTCACCCATTCATCATCAGTAGATGGCCGTTAGGCTGCTTCCACCTTTTGGCTGTCCTGAGTAATGCTGCTGTGCAGATTGGTTACAAGTTTATCAGTGCACGTGGGTTTTCATTTCCCTTGAGTGTATTCCTACAAGTGGTGATTCTGTTTAACATTTTAAGAGATTGCCAAACTGTTTTCCAAAATGCTCCAGGATTCTGCCTTCCCACCAGCAGTATATGAGGGCCCAGTGTCTCGACAGCATTTGGTATCTTTCTATTCCACCCATCCCAGTGGGTGTGAAATGGCATCTCTTGGTGGTTTGATTTGCATCTCCCTGGTTAGTAATGATGTTGAGCATCTTTTTACGTGCCTATTGGCCATTTGTGTATCTCTTTGGAGAAATGCCTGTTCACATGCTTTGCCCACTTTGAATTGGGTTGTCTGTTTATTTTTGAGTTGTAAGAGTTCTTTATACATTCTTGATACAGGTCCCTTATTAGAGGACTTGCAAAGGTCTTCTCCCATTCTGTCGCTTGCTCTTTCACTGTCTTGATGGTATCTTTTGCAGCATAAGAGTTTTATGAAGTCTAATATATCTGTTTTTTCTTTTGTTGCTTGTGCTTTTAGTGTCATATCTAAGAAACCGTATGTAACCAAAGGTCATGAAGATTTACTCATGTTTTCTTTTAAGAGCTGTATGGTTTTAGTTCCTTTCTTTCGGTCACTGATTCATTTTGAGTTAATTTTTGTGGATGGTGTGAGGAGGAGTTCAGCTTTATTCACTTTTCCAGCACTAGTGAACTGTGTTGGCACCCTGGTTGAAAATCACCCATCCTACATGTAAGGGTTTGTTTCTGGACCTTCAGTTCTGTTCCACTGATCCATGATGTCTCTCCTTATGTTGGTACCACTGCTTGGTTACTGTAGCTTTGTAGTTAGTTTTGAAATTGAAAATCTAAGTCTTCCAACTTTGTTCTTCCTTTTCAAGATTGTTGATTGTTTTAGCTATTGTATATGTCCCTTGTATTTCCATATTACTTTTAGGCTTAGCTTGGAAATTTCTCCAAAAATTTTGATAGCGGTTGCTTTCAATCTATATATCAATTTGTGGAGTATTGCTATCTTAAGATTTAGTCTTCCAAACCTGCAAACATAGGATACATTTCCATTTACTTATTCTTTAATTTCCTTTAACAATGTTCTGTAGTTTTCAGCGTACAAGTCTTGTATTTCTTTTGTTAAATTTATTTCTAGGTATTTTATTCTGTATGTTGCTTTTGTAAATGGAAATTTTTTTTTTTGCTGAGGAAGATTTGCCCTGAGCTAACATCTGTGCCAATCTTCCTCTTTTTGTATATGGGTCCCCGCCACAGCATGGCCACTGATGAGTGGTGTAGGTCTGCGCCTGGGAATTGAACCCAGGCCGCCAAAGCGGAGCGCACTGAACTTAACCACTAGGCCACCAGGGCTGGCCCTGGAATTGTTTTCTTAATTTCATTTTCATAATGTTCATTGCTACTATATACAGATAAAACTGATTTTTTTTATATTGAACTTGTATTCTGTGCTGTTTTAGTGGATTCCTTCTGATTTTCTATATATAAGATCATGTCATCTGCAAGTCAGGATAGTTCTTCTTCCTTTCCAATCTGGATGCCTTTTCTTTCTTTTTCTTGCCTCATTATCCTGGCTGGAACCTCCAGTACAATGTTGAATACAAGTGGCAAGAGCGGACATCTTCTCTTCTTCCTGATTTTAGAGGGAGAGCATCCAGTCTTTCATTGTTAACTATGACGATAGCGGTGGGGTGTTTTTAGGTGGCCTTTATTCGGTTAGGAAGTTCTCTTTTATTCCTAGTTTGTGAATATTTTTATCACGAAAAGGTGTTGGATTTTGTCAAATGCTTTTCCAGTGTCTAATGATACGGTCACGTGTTTTCCCTTCATTCTATTAATATGCTGTATTACACTGACTGCTCTTCGGATGTTGAACTAATCTTGCATTCTTGGGCTGAGTCCCCCTTGATCATGACGTGTGATCCTTTTTATACGCCCCTGGCTTGGGTTTGCCAGTATTTTGTAGATGACTTTTGCACCTATATTCCTAAGGGTCTGCAGTTTTCTTTTCTGGTGATGTCTTTGTCTTGTTCTGGTGTGAGGGTCAACACTTGCCTTATGGAATGAGTTGGGGAGCTATTCCCTTCCTACTTTTTGGAAGAGTTTGTGAAGGACTGTTAATTCTTCTGTAAACATCAGCTTTGATTCACCAGTGATGCCGTCTGGGCCTGGGCCTCTCTTTGAGGGAGTTTAAAAATGATTAATTCAATCTCTTTACTTGTTAAGGTCTATTCAGACTTTCTGTATTGCTTGAGACGGTTTCAGGTGTGTCTTTCTAACTTGTCCATTTCCTCTGTTACATCATTTGTTGGCACACAGTTGTTCACAGCATCTCTCACCATCCTTCATTTTTAGGTTTGGTAAGGAATGCTGGCCTCTTCTCACTCCTGATTTGGGGAATTTGTGCTTTCTCTCTTCCTTGGTCTGTCTAGGTAAAGTTTGTTGGTTTCATCGATATTTCTACAGAACCAACTTTTGATCAGTGATTCTTCTCTATTGTTTTTATGTTTTCTATTTCATTGATTTTGGCTCTAATTTTATGATACCTTTTCTCATGCTTGCTTTAGGTTTGGTTTACTCTAATTTCTTAAAGCTCAAGGTCAGGTGATTGATTTGAAACCTTTTTCCATTTTTATATAGGCATTCAAACCTACAAATCCCCCTGTGCCATGTTCAAGCAGCATTCCATTCCATAAATTTTGACATATATATGTTTTTTAACTTAGAAATATAGTCCATTTCCATTGTGCTATCTTCTTTGGTTCATGAATTATTTAGAAATTTTTTGTTCAGTTTCCAAATATTTGGGGATTTCCCAGATTTCTTCCTGTTTTTGTTTTCTAGTTTAATTCCAATGTGTTTGGAGGACATACTTTGTATTATTTTGGCATTTTCAAATATATTGACTTTGTTTTATGTTAATTTCTCCTTCAATTTTGAAGGGTATTTTTCCTAGAAACAGAATTGTCTTTTTCTTTCAGCAATTTGAATGTCATCCATCCCACTGCCTTGGGCCCTCCATGTTTTCTGATGAGAAATCAGTTATTAATCTTACTGAGGATAGCTTATATGTTTTTCAGGTTTTAGATTCTTAGATATCCAATTCGAGATATTAAGGAGCACTTGGCTATATGAGTCTGGTGTTAGGGGAGAGGTCCAGGCTGGAGATGGTAATTTGAGTCTTCAGCATATAGACTGGAATTAAAGTCACGTCACTGGATGAGCTCACCAAAGGGGAGAGTATGGATTAAGAAGACTGAGCTCTCAGCCATGCAATACTACAGTGCGCAGAGGAAGAGGACATGGGAGGATTAACCAGTGAGCTGGGAGGAAACCAGGCGAGTATGGGGCCATGGAAGCCAAGTGAAGGGAGTGTTTCAAGGTGATGGGAGTCACGTGCTTCTTCAAATGCTGCTGAGATCAAGTGAGGCAGTAAGAACTGACCGTTGGATTTAGCACAGTGGAGGCCATCATACAGGGCAGTTTTGTTGGAGTGACTGGGGTGAAAGCCTGACTGGTGGGGGCTCATGGGGGAATGGGAGGAGAACTGGATGCAGGTTACAGGCCACTCTTCTGGGAAACTTTGCCCTAAATAGGAGCAGACAAGTGGGGTAAAGCTGGAGTTTGCGGAGGAATTTTAGCTTGTCTCAACACTGATTCAAGATTAGGACATTTCAGTCAGTCTCATATTTCTTAAGTTTAAAACTTTTGATTTCACTTCAGAAATTTTCACTCCCCACAAGGTCTGACTCGGGGACTTTCCCTCTGGAGGACACTTGCAGCCTGATTTCACGTTTGGGAGCCTTTCTGGCTCCTGTCCTTCCCACTCTGCCATCTGGCACTGTCTCTCCAGGTCTTACCAGTCCTGCCATAGTACAGCAGTGAAAGCATCTTGCAGGGTTCCTGTGACGTCCCCTCCTTCATGAAAGTCACTGACTTCCTTCTCACTGCTCGCTTTCCACATTCACTGAAGCAGCTTCTGTGCACCTCTGTACTGGGGTGGGGGCGGGTCTAATGCGTAAGCTCTGGCTGGTCCTTGTCTTAAAGAGGCTCACAGTCTGGAGCTAAACTGTCCAGTCCGGTAGCCACTGGACACATGTGGATATTTAAATATAGTAAAATAAAATTAAAAATCCAGCTCCTCAGTCGCAGCAGGCATTTCAAATGCTCAGGAGCCACACGTGGTTGGCAGCTCCTCTTCTGGACTGCACAGAGAGAGAACGTTTCCATCACTGCGGACAGTGGGCTGGTCTCAGAAGACACCAGCAGCTACACAGTGACGATAAATGCGATCATTATTGTTACTGTTCATTTTGGCATTTAATAAAATGTGACTTTGTGATTTTAACTAGCTTGTGCATTTCCCTGATTAAATGGAAAACTCTGAGGCCAGAGGACTGCGTTTTCTCTCATTTGCCCCACCATGCTTTACTGCGAGGTTAGCTCATTGAAAGCTTTCAGTGAGCATGAAATGGAATTTTCCATATGGCATGGAAAACTTCCATAGATGGACTTGTAGGTTAGCTTAGAATTTTATATGCTGCAGGGACACAGGCCCTGGAGCATGCTGCCTGACGCTGCCTGGCAGTGGGATCTCTCCCACCTCCTTTCCTCAGCGCCTGGTGTATGAAGGATGGGACAGGCTGTCCGGCTTTGGAGAGCTTTCAGAAGCGCTGAGGCCCTCCCCAGGAACGATTTACCTGGTCTGGGGTGTGGCCTGGGCATTGAGATTTCTAACCTCCCCAGCTGGTTCTAACACGCGGCCTCAGCTGAGATCCACCAGTGGAAGAAAGTGGACCCCTGACCCTCGCCTGCAGCTCTGCCCATTTACAGCTATAAGTCAGTGTGACCAGTACATCGCAATCTCGTCTTTTATACTACTCATGAATCCTTTTTTTCCCCTTATAGTTTATCATCTCAGTAATCACTATGGTCCTTTTGACCCTGATGACTGTCACACTGGATCCTCCTCAGAAACTGCCGGACTTATTTTCTGTACTGGTGAGTTCGGTGTCCTGCTTGAACTTCCTGTTCTTCTTGGTCTACTTTAACATTATAGTCATGTGGGATTCCAAAGATGGAAGAAATCAGAAGAAAATCCACTAGCTCTGTCCGCAAATGTGAAAACGTTAACAGTGCTAAAAGGTTTTGTGAACTTTTGCTGTGTGTAAATCATCATTTTGAGAATCATGGACTTATATAAGAGATGGTGACAAGTCACTGTTGCCTATGCAAAATAAATGTATATGGGACCAAAGCCAAGGGAGACTTTTATTTCTATTGAGTGGTCAAGAGATATTGTCATTTTATTAATATTCACAGTTATTCAAGTGCGAAAATAAGAGAAAAATGTCCTTAATACAGTGTTTACTTAGGAAATATACTCTAAGTTGTTGTCTTGAAAAAAACCTGCAAATACAGTGAGCTTACTGGGAGAATTTAGCTCTGTCTTTTTAAAGAAGATCACTAATTTTGGTATTCAAATTTGGTTTTCCCTACATTTTAGAATGCAAGAAATGTGTACTTCATTCTTTAGCTACTGTATCTCAGGGATTAAATTTGTGATAATCTTTTTAATTACTGCGAAGGCAATTTAAACCACGTAAGTTTGAACATGCCTTATTACATGTGCAAATTTGAGTTTCTTTTTAACAAGGCAGAGAGATTAAACTATGTTCTTATTTATTTCCAAGAATCCTGATTTACTTGAATGCAATTAAACAATGAATTTTCCTGAATTTAAATCTGAATAGTTTGAATGAAGTCTTCTTCCTTACTCATGATCACTCCTTCTAAACTTCCAGGATCGTCCTGTTAGATGGCTTTATGCAGGATTTCATCCTTCTGTTCTTTTGTGTTATGACCTGGTTCAAAGTTGCCATTGAGTCATGTCATGCTCCATGTTAACTTGGCCCTATGGATACTGTATCGCTCTGTATTCACACAAGCCCATCTTTACTATAGTATTCAATGGGTAAAAATGATGTATTATATCCACGTTGTATTTTTTCATGTACTGTTTATTTAGTCTCTGTAATAAAAATAAAACATTTTCCCATCAACCTTTTTTTTTTGAGGAAGATTAGCACTGAGCTAACATCTGCCAATCCTCCTCTTTTGCTGAGGAAAACTGGCCCTGAGCTAACATCCGTGCCCATCTTCCTGTACTTTATATGTGGGACGCCTACCACAGCATGGTGTGCCAAGAGGTGCCATGTCCGCACCCAGGATTCAAACTGGCAAACCCCGGGCCGCCAAAGCAGGACGTACACTTAACCACTCTGCCACCGGGCCCTCCTCTCAACCTATCTTCTTAATGAATATATTTGTTTCATAAGATGGCCATTAAAGCATATTAACTAAATGGTGGTATATATATTTATTTTAAAACAACGCAAGCCGAACATAGACACACACAAAGATAATTTGGTTCTAGACATGGACAGCGACATGCTGATGCAGGAAGGTATGTGTTTCTAAGCTTGATAAAGGAAGTGGGTTTAGACAAAGCAAAAACTCAAGAAGTATTTCTTTCTCAAAGCAAATGTGCATAAAGACTCAAAGGGCAGGTCAGCACAGAAACGCAGCCTTGAGTCGCTGCCGAATCAGCAGGAACACTGGTGTCCACGGCCACCATCTGTAATCGCTGGGCCCAGCTGTCAGCATCCTGGCTTGCTGGGATAGTCTTACTGTTTTATTTTTTGTAATAGCATACTCGTGTTGAACACAGGGTGCCAATTTAACCCAATGATTAGGAAGTTCTAACTTCTAAATAACTGGAATAGAGAAACGTTATTTGTAAATAAAAGTATTACATAAACAGTAAAAGGAATGCACTCATTCAAGATATAGGTAAATTCTGCAAGTGAAAGCACATTTTCCAGATGTTTTAATCTAATCACACTGAGTGACACTGCAGCTTTTACAGAGACTGTAGCAAATATAAGTGTCTCTTGTAGCTATTAGAAACCAGTTTCAGAAGAGTCCACTTTGAACTCTGAGGGATTAGGTTCCAAAATACAAAAAAATGTCCAGCGACGAGTTATGATCACAGAAACAGGCAATTCCAAAGTACTTCTCTCAGCTACACTCAGGATTATAGGAATGTTTTAATATAATGAGATTTAGGTTATGCAAAGATATTAAAAATTTCTCACTTTGTTCACAATTATACCTGTCAAAAAATGAATGCTTCTAAGTTATTTTTAAGTTCATTTTAGAGGGAAGGCGGTTTCTGAGAAATGCAGTTTTCTCTTGTCAATAAACTCAGGTTTGCTTCTTAAAATGAAGAGAGTAGGGTGTATGCTCATGTATCAGATATGAGGCATACAGCAGTCACTTTCCCTCCGGGCCTTAGGGAGGGGAGGAAAATCCCCGATGTAGCATTCTGTCCAAATGATAAACCACAGCTGAGTGAGGGAAACATTTACAAAAGTCACGGCAGCCAGCGGGGCCGCTCTGTTCTAGAGAAGGCGGGAGAGATGGATAGGACGCGACGAAATAATGGCTGGAGTAACACAACGGCTTCAAGTCTCAATTGGTCTCTTCTGCGATGTTCATTGGAAGATCAGGGTTAGGGTATCCCCCGTTTCTGCCGTGCCCTCCCCGCCCCACATAAACATTAGTTTTGTGTGTGGATCTTTCTGCTTTGTCCTTCATGTGGCCTCCAAGGGTGATAAAGCGAGAGTCATCTGATCTACAGTGAGGAGAACTGGGAAATGATTCTTAGCAGACCCAGCTGTTCTGCAAGGCAAAAGCTTAGTAGATCAAGAGGGCAAACATACGGTAACCAATTTAATAGCATTAAGCACATAGCTCCATAACTTGGATTACATATAGAACAATCTACTCCTTAACCTATTTCCTGACTGATGCAGGTTTCTTTGTATGTTTTGGCTTACATTCTAAGGTTAGTTTTCAATGCTAGAACTGAAAGGAATTATGCTTTTGAGTTGTCCTACTGTAAGAACTGTATCATAAAGTATTAATATTCTGCAGGTTATCTTAAAAGTCTTATTTAAATACCAATAAAATCATTAGTGAAGGCAAGGAGGTTTAACTGTTAACTGGGTTACTGTTTAGTATCTATGTCATTCAAATTAAGTTTTTTAAAAATCATTTTCATTTTAAGAAGTGAATCTGAAAGTTCTCTAAATGGAAAATTAGGTATTTTCAACCTTAATTTGTTAAACTTTGTTTCAGATTTTCATATAGTATTTTTATTTTCATGTTACAGTGAATTAAATGACACGGTCACATCTTATAAATTTTGTCGACAACGCAAGTACTGAGGGAGTAGCATTTTTTCCCTGTATAAACAGTCAAAGAAAAGTATAGAAGTTTTAAAAAACCATGTTATCAAGTTATAACACATTCTGTAATTTCCTCTGCCCTTTATTTTCTGACAGCACAAGCATGATGATACAAAACACCATAGCAAAATAGAAATTAATGCTTCAAAATAATCTGGAGAGGATCACATACAGCCCCATAAGAAAGGTCTTTTCTTTAAGTTCAGTAGTCTGTGTAGTTCAGTTTAAATGTCTGTACTGAAAAACGTATTCCAATAGTTTACAAAAGGAGATGTGAAAATTTTAACTTTGAAAATACTTTCTCCCTATGAGCATAGGAATAACTAGAGTCTAAAAACCCTCATTCCTGAGATAGCGGCTACACAATGAACTTCTACATACATTTTTAAAAATTTAAAGCAGAGTCTAAATAATGCGCAATACACATCTGGGGCTTTAAATGGGCAGACTGGTACCTAACGCTCCCAGCATCAGCTTTATCCTGGGCTTTAAAGCATTCAGCCTGCCCAGGCACCAGGGCGTCAGCGCCTGACCAAGTCTCCACAAAGGCTCCAGGACAGGCGTGTGCGGCACAGAGAGAGTCAGGAGCCTCTTCCACAGGAGAGGGTCAAGAAGAAATGGATTATTTACACTGAGATTACCTACTGGTGTGTGTAGAAAGTTTAAATTAGCTGCAAGAAATTTTATCTAGACATGCACCTGCCTAGTGCTATGATCTGGTATTTACTGGGCAGATTAATTACAGACATTTCTTCTGTTCCTTTCAATGCGATCAGGCAGATGCAGGAGTTGTTCATAGTGGGTGCATTTCTTCTAAATGCCTGTAGGATATAAAAGAGGATTATTAAACCATCAAGAATTAGTTTCCAACTTAACATACATCTCATACATAAGAAATTATTCCAACCCATTTACTGTGTAACTTGGTACCGCGTTTAGACGCTGGTAATCTCTCATTTGCTTATCTGCGCTTCTACGCAAGACTCACCCCCACAAACAATTGTCACCATGACTACTCCAGCACAGCACGCTCCACTCCACGCGAAGACAGATCTTGAGATCTGAGGGAGCCGCAGAACCCCAACATGGCCCACGGAGACACGAAACCTACATGCCTGAAGGGCCTTCTAGCAGGTGTCTCCTCCAACAGCTGCCCCCCCAAGAGAGACAGTCTTCACTGACACTCCTCCTCAGAGTCCCCCGGGACTGGGTGGTGGTAGAAGTTCTCGTCTGTCTGGCCTTAGGACCCTCGTGAGAGAGGACGCCTTTGAGGAAAGCGGCCCTTGGCAATGATGGCACATGTTCTCACAGGGCAGGGGGACGGAGCCCTCCTGAAGCACCCCTTCCTTGCTTACACGGGCACCTGGGAAGAAGCAATGCATGGTAGGCCCCTGTGGTCCCCTAGTCACGAGAGTCCATGTATGTTGTTCTGCTCCAGGAGAAGACAGGTTGCCACCCTGCAGCCAACTTTTGCCAGCTCTCGTTTGAGTCTGGCCTGAGTTCCTAGAGAAGATTTTAAGCACGCAAGTGTTCCCTCAGTGTCCTTACTGGTTACTGACACCGAGTCATCAGAAGCAACCATACCAGAGAGGAAAGGAAGACTACCATTTGTTAACTAGTGACTATGGGGAGGCAGTAATTAAGCTAATTATTTTGTATAATCCCACACAGTAAGTACTGTCGGTCCCATTTGATAATTGCAGCCAGTCAGCTGAGCAGGTAGTGGAGCTGGTGCTGGGCATCTAGTCCAGATCCCGTCCTCTGTTACAGCGCCAGGCCCTGCAGAGGGGTTTCACCAACTAATCACAGCTGCTGGGAGAACTGAGTTGAGAAAGACTCTGAGGCTAAATTCAGGAGCCAGCAAAAAACAAGCTTTGCTCACTGTGATGTCCCGCCCAGCCCCAGGGCAGGGAGCGCGGTCTGCTGTCTCCACCGCCACACTGGCTCCGGAGATGACGTCTCAGAACACGGCGAAAGGCGACTGGGACACAGGTGCAGTTCCTGAGCAGGACTGTGACGGGGTCCACCCTTCCCATGGCAGCTGTATTGCTTCTAACGTGTTTTGGGTTGTTACTTCCCTGATCTTCTCCGCCGGTGCCCTTCTGCCTAACGAGTGAATCTGAACTGACGAGGCTGGAGGTCAGCAGTGCTGACCACGTGGCCGGAGCCCCTTCAGTCGTTCTGCTTCCTGCCTTTTGTTCATGTTGTTCTCTCTGCCGAGTATGTCGACACAGACCATCAAAGTTACCTGTCTTCAAATTCTAGCTTCCTAGGAAAGTGCTAAGCTTCCATCTGTAGGGTCTGGGGGCCTGTCAGAGCTCCCGCAAAGTGGACACACTTGAACTGACGTTAAGGTCATGAGCCCTTAATAATGACGTGATGGCTCCCTCCTGAGGTGACGGACGTCCATCGTGCTCCTACACTCCTCGCATTCTTCCTTGGGCTTTTAGAGAGGAAGGTCAACTCCCCAGTCTGAAGAGGAAGGAACTGCTGCCACCGCGCTCACTCTCCACGCCCCTGAAGAGTGACAAAGTCCAGAACACCGCCATGTCCTCCCGCAGTGGGACCTGTCCCTGTTCTTTCACAGCGCCCTCCCCACTATCTGGCTCCCTTTCACTGTCTGCTCACAAGTGCAACGGCCTTTGTGCTTCATGATCTCACGTAAGGAGACCAGCCCATTCTCTCTCCCTCGCCTGCAACCAAGCCCAGAGGCGGGTCTGTGGTCCTCGCACTGTAGAGGCACATGGGCCTGGGGTCTATTTCAAAGGTCCAGCTTTCTGCTCAGGTTCAGCAGAGCACACGGAGTTCAAGATTTCAATTCAAAGCAGGAGAGAGCAGGTTCCACCTCTGCCTTAGGGACAATGCACATTAGTTACCCCGAGCCGCTACCAGAGGGCCCGCCATGTCAGAGGTTATCATTCCACCACTACGCGAGTGAACACTTTGATCCTCACTGGAATCATAATCCTTTTCTGTACTTGCTATTGGCCAGAACCCTGGAAGGAAGAAGGGTCTGAACTTGTCCCCCACTGTCATAGCTTGTCTTGTATTATTTTTGTTTCATGTATATAATAGAAATCTTGTGTCCTTAGCTTGATTACTAGGTTTCAACAGGTTGACATTATGCCCAGTGCTCTGTTTACACTTTTGTTAACCAAGTGATTTTCCCATGTTGTTTCTAGATGAAGTATCCCAGTATCCCCTGCAAACATTAGCCAGAACCATGCTTCTTCTCTCCCCTCCCCTTTGGCTGGTCTTCGTATTATCTGTGGCCTATGGGTTGCTGTCTCCCCTACTCACAGTCTCTCTTATTCCAACATTATTTTACAGAGGCTTTGCCTCTTAAAGGCTCTGGGAGTGAATTTGTGTGGGGCGGTGCCCCCACTGAACAATACGGGTCACAGAAGTGAGTGCAGGAGGTGATGTGCAGACGGAGAACCTGGATGCAGTGGTGTCAGGAGCACTAGGATTGTCAGAGGACAAAATCAGGGAGCTTAATACCCTCCTTAGTCACACCCCTCGGGCAGCTACGACACACGCACAAAGGAAGAGCAACGGGAGAAGGTGGAAGAGCCTGATCCGAGGAAGCCCACTGTGGGTGCGTTAGAAGCAGGTTGTGAAGTGGCAAAACGTTGATGCTGATGGGGGAAAAGGTTCGCCAAGCCGAGGAGACAAGGACAAAGAAAGGAAATGAGGAAGGCACTTTCTGAGGAATGCATCTGCAGAACGGCAAGTGATCTGGAGTGGCGGAGGCACAGGGCAGACGAAGGGAAGCTGCGATGGGAACACCGTGGAGAGAGCCCCTCTAAAGCACAATCTGTCACACAGGACCGCTGTAGGGAAGGGGCAGGAAGGCCGGTCCCAGTGGAGACGCCAGTCATTGGATGAGCGGCAGTGAGGGAGTAACTAGCGCCGGGCGTGGAGAGGGAAGGGCACGTCTTTCAAAGCGATGTGACCTGGGGGCAGTTTGGGTGTGGAGACAAAAAGACAGAATTTTGAGGTTTTGAGCCTTATCCCTGGATGAATGTTAATCCCTAGAAAGGTCAAATGAAAAACAATTTTGGGGGGAAATGATGAAACCAGCATACTTGGGGGACAATGTTTGGCAGCGGAGATTGTCGGTTTACAGCTCGGGGGGAGGGGCACAAATAGATCTGGAAACTACTGCCCCAAGGCGAGAACTGAAGTCAAGGGAGGGGATGAGACCACGAAGAAAGTGCCCGCCGGGAGAGACAGCGCAGTCAAAGAAGCCGGGACGCGCCTCCGAGGGAAGCCGGGCTTCCTCTGCGCTGCTTCCCACTACCGGACGCTGACCGGTGCCAACCTTAATTCTCTCAAGTTTCTTGAAAGTGTTATTCAAATTGAAGACTTGAAGAACACTGCTAACACGTGACGCCCTTTACTGGAATTCTTGAACACGAAGCTATCCTCAGTACTCTAAGTTCCTCAAAACATCCCTACCGAGACTGTCAGGCACCGATGGTGTGGACCTGCGAGTACTATTCACCATTGCCCCCTGCACTTGTCTGTTGGAGCCCCGCGGGTCAGAAACTTCCTAAACTGTGTGCCGCTCCCATGGACGAACGTGTGCGTGGGAGTGCACGCGCGCTCTCCTTCCTCCGGACGGGCTCCAACACCTCGGCCGGGGGAGGCCTGGCGCTGCTGATGCTGCAGGGAGCGGGCGGGGCAGAGCCTGGCGCCAGACACTCAGGTTAGCCCCCCGGCTCCCTCTCCTAGGTGATTCTGAGACAGGGACTCAACCTCTTTGTGCCTCAGTTTCCTCACCTATAAAATAAAGATGACAACTGTGTCTACTCCACGTAACGCGGTGTGTACCAAGCACAGGCACTCTGAACGTGCTCCGTAAACACGCGCTACTACTACCAGCTACCATGTGCTGTGTACAACAGAACATTTTAATGAACGAAAGGGACACAATTTTCTATAGAAGATGCTTTGCAAATATTTTAAGAACAGCTGGTCTGTTGGGAAGCTAATATTAATCATTTGAGATACCATTTCCAAAGAAATGTATTTTCAGGATAGAATAGAATTCTTTCGTTTTGTATTAATTTTCTTCTAAGAGACAGCAAGCAACATCTGGTTAGCTTCTGAGAACCTCACTACTGATGCCACTAAGTCTGGGTTGGTGCTGGTTCTTCGTGTGACCCATCAGTTCCAGGGGCCCCGAGCACGACTATCCACCATGACTCACGCTTCCAGCTCACACATTACAATAAGCGATTGAGAAAGACAGCATTTTTACTTGTATGGCTGAAGCCACAGGAACTGTTTTGAAGGTGCGCCTAATTAATATGTAATTATTTACTCAATTCAGCACATTTACAAATTCAGAGACTTATATCTTGTTTGGTCAGGCGTGCTGTATAGAAACTATAACCCAGCTGTCAGGATCTAGTCAGCTGTTTATCTAAAGTAGCTCAATTAAGGACCCTCTTTATACCCACGTAAAAATACGCCCTCTCTGAGTCTGAAGCTGGCGGGCCGGCTCAACAGTGTTCTTCTCTGTCAGCGTCTAACTCACAGATCTTGTCAGACTGCCCTCCTATTGTTTAAAAGAACAGATTAAATAGAATTTCAACTGAAGCTCCAAAGCTCATGTCCCTAGTTTCTTTATAGACAGACAGCACCAAATTTGGTCAATACAATTTTTCCATGTGAAAAAACTGAAATTTAGCAAGGCTCAACTTAATTAGAAAGGTGAAATAGTACCTCAGTTTAAAATGGCTTTCAGGAATTCATAGCTGTCGAGATGACGTAACTCTATATGAAAGAAAACAGACTTTTTTCAGAAAACAGATTAAAGTAAGTGGTCACAGTGTATGATGCAGAATAAATGTTGAATCAAAATGAAATTAAAATAAAGAACCTAAACATAAAGTTTTATTTTACATTATAAATAGCAGTTTTGGGGCTATAAATTATCATCTCAACATCCCACCAATTTGCCTGATTCTGTTTCAGAATGTACATTACAAAGATTTAGGATGGGAGCCAGCGTGGTGGTGCAGTGGTTAAGTCTGCATGCTCTGCTTCAGTGGCCCAGGATTTGCAGGCTCAGATCCTGGGCACGAACCCATAAACCGCTCATCAAGCCATGCTGTGGTGGTGACCCACATACAAACTAGAGGAAGACTGGCATAGTTGTTAGCTCAGGGCCAATCTTCCTCAAGCAAAAAAAGGACAAAGATTGGCAACAGATATTAGTTCAGGGCCAATTTTCCTCACCAAAAAAAAAAATAAATAAATAAAATAACTTAGGATGAAAACTGTCAAGAAATTTATTATTATAACATATGCTTATGCTCTATCATAATTATTTGTCTTCTGTGCTAGATTCTATAATCCTGAGGGTGGGCTATGCTGGTCTGGTTCATAGGGTTTCCTCAACGCTGGAACACTGCCTGGCCCACAGTAGGCACTCAAACAAATATTAACTAAACAAGCCATGTAAGAAGATAGCAACGTACAAGTATTTGAAAATATTTAAATAATTCCTTTAGAACATCCTTCGAGGGCCCATTTGTTTTATTCCCTCACGCACATGCCCTGGGAACCTTCTCTCCAGCTTCCACACCAGGCTCTAGGCTGCAGGGAGAGAGGAGACTGTCTGCTGGCCCAGGAGGCCCTGTACCCAGATGGTCACCACCCGCAACGCCACTCCTACACGGCACACGTACGCACATTCAGGCAAGGGGTGGAGGAGCCTTGGGGATGAAGCAGTTCCGCTTTGCCTGGGCGAGCTGGGGAGAGCCTCGCAGAGGTCGTGACACCCGAGGCTGACCTTAGGGAATGAGCAGGAAGGAGTCTGGCAGACAGAGAAGGAAGAAAGCCATCCAGGGAGAGAGGCAGCAGAGAGAGATCCAGAGGGCTGAGGCCTGTGGTATAAGCAAGGTGGATTCCTCCTATCTGAGGTCTGAGCCAGAGGAAAGGTCACCTAATATTTACTTATTCCACAAGTCTTGCTTTCAACTGTGTAATTAGCTACATAACTATAAACATCTATCTTTATTGTGATATATATGTGTTTAAAACATGCAAACCACTTAGAGCATTTATCTAGCTCTTTTTTGAGGGGCTTTTCCGACTAAGAGTTAAAATGGAAAAAACAGCGTTCACCTGTCAGGTGACATAAAACCAATTTCTACTAAATGTGCCAGAATAATTTTTTTCCACCTCAAGAACAGTTAGTCTTCAGTCTGTTCATTACTGTCTTTTTATAGTATTTTTATTTAATAAAACCTATTAAGACTACCATACAAATCTCTTTACTTATGCTTTTATCTTTTAGCTGATCAATTTTTATATTGCTGACATCCCTTCTTCACCATTTGCTCATTTAAAAATTCATAGTATGTGAGCTATGTCTCTGGAGAAAATGTCTATAAAATTTGTTGCAGCTGGCAAATGTGTATGAGTCAGTGATAGCACATGACTAAATGCTTCACAGAAAATAAAATTTGTTTCTGTAGTAAGCAGAACTGTTTAAATGTTATTTATTTTTATGTTTCAAAGAAAATATATAGTGAAGTGCTGCATTGATTTAATACGCAGCAATGTCTGTGTACACGCTGTAGAAGGAAAATTTATGAAACCTTTGCACAACTCCTTTAATTGAATTTTCCAAATCTCTCACCACACACAAATAATCAATATCTTCTGCAGAGAAAACCAGTCAGAATTATTACAGTCTTTCGTTTCAATTTTGTTGTCATCAGCACATACAGAGCACCTGGATATTTGTAATGTCTGATGGGAAGTTATTTACACGTCTTAGACACGTAATTGCTATTAAGGGAGTTCAAATCTATGGTTTAAAGTGGTTTTTTTTTTACTGATTATTTAAAAGATAAAAATCATCATACTTCTAATAAAGTATAAAAAAATTTAAATCATGGAAGAAATTATTCAAAAGGCTTTGAACAGTAATAAACCAGTTTGTTTTCCCTTAAATCCTAGCCAAGTCCCTAGTAAGCAGTTGAAATGTATGCCCAAACAGTGATGAACAGTGTACAACAAGAGCATCCGCGTCACCAGGACAGGCAGCCCCAGGGACTGTGTCCGCGACGGCAGGTCCTCATGGAGGGCTGAGGACTACAGGTGTACGTCAATGTCTATTTGTGTCCCCAAAACTAATTCTTTATTTTTTATCTCCAGATAAGCCAAGAATGTTAAAGTATAAGGGGAAATTTTGGTTGTTTCTCCTAAAACTCATCATGTCTAAACTTCAAACCTCTGTGCTTTTAAAACTGAAGTATTTATTTGAAAAAAGATACTAATGTTAAGATATAACAGAAAAAACTAAAGGGTAGTAGTCTTCTTGGATTATTTAGCTGATCTGATGAATCCTTTTTCAAGACTGAGTGGGCAAAGAACAACATAGTTTTAAGTTAAAAAATACTTCAGTGGGTGGTTAGAATGAAAAGGCAATATCACACCATTTTATAGTCTTAGAACAGACGGAGTTTCAGATTTGCCCTGAAGTCCAAGAATTTGAAAACTTTAAAATCCTATAATCAAGATGAATTTTACAATGTAAGAACATTAGCTAAAGAAAATAGGAACATTATAGTTTGTGCTTTTCTTTTTAAGGCCACAGCTAGAAATTCTGAAATATTTTATACGACAAACAGCTGAAACACTCAACTTTTTTGAACAATGTGAAGTTCAGATGGTTGCATTTCATTTAAAATATGCATACTGCAACCTACACAATTATTCTCAAAACAGATAAAATATGTTTTGGACTGAAGCTAAGTGTCTAGATTTCATATCTTGGCAAGTGCTCTACAATTTGCTTACATTCTTTTCAAAAACATTTTGTTTACTGGAAGTACTAGTCATAGACAAACAATGATGGTATTTTCTAATATCTCTAGAAAAAATGAAAATACTAAGTACTATATAATGCCATCTATTGACTCAGGAATATTTGTATCAAGTTGTTTTAAGAAGAGGTTGATTATGTAAAATAAATAAATTTCATGCCTTACCATGTGATGATAATGTGACATTCCATCTGTATCAACCCATTGAATGATCATATGTTTTAAATCTTCAGCATAACAAATTAAAAATAATTATGAAAATTCACATCCAAATCTAACTGAAAAGGAACCTTTCATTTCATGATTTTTCTAATAGTCATAAAGCCAATATTATTAAGAAAAGTGAAGTTAGGCTTACTTCCTAAGTAACTGAAGAAAAAAGCTTTCCTTTGTTTAAGAAATCTGTACGTGGCAGAAGAGATCCTCTCTTATTCACACTCTCCACCAAGGCATTCCCTGATTTGCAAGTTCTCCTGAAAATTATGAAAATCCCAGTGTACCTTTTCATGTTATTGTGTATGTTTTAAATTTCCCTTGAGTAAGTTATAGAAAGCCTTAAGAATGTGTGTCAGATGTCTAGTCATTTAAAACTCTCCCTGCCTGTGATGAAGACCGCAGCTGACGCTGAGCAAACCAGCACTGAAGTGAGGAAACACACAGAAGAGAGGACAGGGGGCCCGACAGCATCACTGCTGGAACTCTCCTGGGACTGTCTGCCTCAACTGTTCTGGGACAATTTTATAAGAATTTGAAGGAAAGGAAAAAGAATCTGAAGGACACTCTTTTGACAGTGCAACAAGTAATTTGTTTCTTCTCATTTTCATAATTACCTAACAAAACAAATCTAATGCATATTATAGGGCTGACTTTTATATTATATAATTTCTAAGATTATGAAGATTCCCAAAACATTTTAAAGTGTAAACAATTCTAGGTAACAGGACAGTAAAAGAGTAAAGTTGAAATTTCTATAAAAAGCTGAAGGCTTCATCCCCAAATAAGAAACATAAAGCAAATTAGTTTGAGATGTCAAAAAAATTAGCAAAGTCCTCTTAAAATGAATGTATGAATAGAAGCAGGTGAAAGTTATTAGCTTAGCAATTAAAAAACCTACCTATACATACGCATGTGTTGGTGTGCATCATCTTTAACAAAAAAAAACCCACATCAAAAATTAAAAGTACACATATTAGGAACCAGAGAAAGAGGAGGGAAAAGGACTCAGTAAAAATATATAGCTCCAACTCAAATTATAAAGAAAATAAGCTTCAATCTATTTTTCAGGCAACATTACTTTTAAAAAATTAGTTGAAAGCTAATGAAGATCTGAACACCTCAGGAAATACAAAGACCTAATGCAGATCTTGCCAAGAAACAGCAACGGAAGACAACTCACATATTCTAATATATACAGTATATGCTAATACACAGCACTCAATATACAGATGTTATATATTTTATACATCTTAACTCGGTTAAACCACCAAACTATCAATGCTTATTAGAAACTCTGAAACATGATTTAGTGGCACAGTCTCCCACAGGCAGGAACACACACTCAGTCTTTAGGGAAAACCTGGTAATGGGCAGTCAGTTTCAATGCCTAAAATACTAGACAATGGTTGTAAGGCTGATCATGCACAAACACACAACGGTAACTGAAAGGAGATGACTTTTAACACAAGGAATATAACTTTAATGTCTTCATGAATGTTTAGGGAAGGAAACAACATTTTTGCAAATTTTTTTCCATTAATTATTAACAGTGACAATTCACTTATTTGTTCTACAATTTTTCCTTCCTCATTTCTCAAAACCGTTGGCAAAAGCGAACTAAGTAAAGCCTAATTGTAATTAGTTCTAGGAAATTACAGATTAAAGAAGAAAATCACACCATCGGTATAGAATATATAGAAGAAAGATTTCCTCTAGTTGGGAAACAATACACATTCCGATTTCCCATTAGGATCCTCTAAAACTTGTCGAGTTAGGAGAGGTCTGAAACCCAGCTACACATGACAGTCAAGGTCGGAGCACAGGAGAGAGGAGAAGCAAGCCTTTTCTCAGAAAGAGCCACCTTCCTCTTCTTACATTCTTGGGATTACAACGGAGGTCAGCTGCTCAACTGACTAGCTCAGGAAGCCTGCCCAGCGCCCTGCCACCTGAGCTTCGGAGGCCTCCTGCCACGGCTGCTGCCAACCACGACCCAGCTGGCCTTGGGAACTGACCAGCAGGGAACCCCAGCACGTCCACTGCAGCCTCAGCGCTGGCTTGTTAGAGATCCCGAACACAGGCTAACGACTAGATTGCTGAACCAGTTTCAGTCATGCCTCATGTCTGAATCTGAACGCTGCAATGACTGGGTGGTTTCATTTGTTTTAGGAAGAGGCAATGTGGAATAACGAAAAGACCATATTTTTTGAGGTCCAAGTGGTCTTTCATTGGAATGCTTGTTCTGACACTTAAGTGGCAGTGTCTTTGGGCAAGTTACTTAACATTTCTTGTGTCTTTGCTCCTTATCTATGATGACAATGATAATAGCCATCTTGCAGTGTTGCTGCAAAGATCTGCTGATCCTAGTGTTGGAAACTTAGTAATTATTGGTCCTCAATAAATGGTAGTCATTGATACTCAAAAATAGTAGACTAAAACATGGCTATCATTTCAAGGCCTACCTCTGTTTCCAGAGATTGCTAAATGGCATTTATGTCAGTAATACTAAAATGACCTCTCAAGTTGGTTTAAAGGTTTTAATGTTTTACAGTCCATGATTATTTTGGCTTACTGAGGTGTGGATGTGCTTGTGTTATGGGAACTTAAAATCTGCTAATTCAGTTTCCCATTCTGTGAAATGCTCAGAGGCATAAGAGTTCACAGGAGATCAAACGTCATTAATGATCTGAAAGTTTTCAGAGTACTGATTACAAAGTAGCTTTTTATTCTTTGTGTATCCTTCTAATTCACCATTAAAAGCGGCTGTATATTCATGCATTGTTGCCCCATTTGTCTGTATTCTCAAAAAGGACATTTAATAAAATGACAAAATTTAAATCTTAAACTGAAAATTGTATTTCAAAAGATATTTAAAAAGTTCAACCATCAGGGCGGTTGATCTCATTAGACATGGCCTGCTAAATGCAATATGAGGTTTTCAAATGAGATTTGTGGTCTTTTAAAAGAACAAATTAAAAAAGGACTCATGATGACTGGTTTTAAACGGTGAAATCAGATGAAAGGATCTCTTTATATAACAAATTAAAACACAACTCTTTACCTTTGTTAGGAAGTCCTGAACTCTTCTTTTCAAACAGCTTTTGTTTTGTTGCTTTCGTCACTAAAAGAAAAAAAGAACCTCATGTTAAGAATTAACATGGACTATGTGAATAATTGCTCATCTTGGAAGAAACAACTTCATGAGGAAAAATAATTCGGAGTAATACATATTTATAGGTATCAAGCACAAATTGCAACATCTTACTATATCTTAAAGAATGAACACTATGTAAAAAAAACCTAATACATTTCCCAGGTACATTCTTTCCTTTCACATTCAAGATTCCCTGAGATGACACATCCTCGTGAAAGACAGGTGGCTTCTCATTCTTTCAACAAGACTTCTATCCCATGTCCAGTAGTGACGTATATAAAGAAGTCTATCAAATTTAAATTTGGGAAAAATGAATAGATTTATCTCTAAAATTAAAAATGCTAAAATATATATCTAAGTTTGCAAACAAGGAACAGAGAGACACCATTGAAAACTCATAAATTTTTCTTACTTAGTTCTTTCGTTTTCTGCATTTCTCTTAAGAAACACGATGCACGGGAGATACCAAGCAGATTTTCAAGCTCTCTACTGCCCTCCAAAGCCTGAAAGAAAGCCATCTTGACTGAGTTAAGGATGTTCTCCACAAACAACAGTAGGGATAAGGCCAGCAGAGACACAGGGCACTGTCTGCTTTATCTAAAACATGTAAACTCCACAGCAGGAGATCTAACTTTTTCTGGTAGGTCAACTACTGCAAGCCTTAAAATGTCTGAAGAAAAACAATTTATTAACTAAAAAGACTAAATATAATCTACAAATTTAAAGGTGAGAAAGCCAGAGATTACTAAAGTATTATGGTTAATTAATGTTCATATAAGAAAAGAAATTCTCATGAAAAGTAAATTAAACATATCCCCTGCAAATTCGTTCCTGAACTCAATTCTTCAATCTGCGGCTTCTCTCCTATTCTCCTTTTTCAGATGGGGTAGTAGAAGTATGAAAAAGTATATGCCAAAAAGAAGCAAACCTGTATACTACTTAAATTTTGCATTATTTCCATGATTTCTTCTGATGATTTCTCAACTTTAGATAGCAACACCATGAATCTATGAATGAAGAAAAAAATAATATTTAGCAAGATCAAGCATTTAAACATGGCAAGTCATTTTCAGAGCTTCAATTCTTTTTAAAGGATCCTAGATTCTGTTTTCTAATCTTTTCTTTACACTTTTCCAAGTGGCAGAGTAAGCACTCCTCCCCCATCTTTTGGCCCTTTCCAAACAAAATATGCATGTCAACCATCCTGTCTTGGGGTCTCACTTTCCCTCAGCCCCAGCGAGTGGTGGGAGGGAGGAAGCTGGCTTGCTCCTTTCTTCACAATTCCACTTGGAGAACACTGGTATGCCACCATCTCCTTATTTAACTTGACCTAAGTCTACGAATCACTGTTACCCAGTAATTTCTTTTTAATAAAAAATAAGTTTTACAGCTTTAATATATTTCACTGTGAAAAAGATACAAACACACTCTTTTAAACTTGAAAATAAAGAAAAACTTCTCTTGTAACCCTACCTTCTACACACATTCCTAGTTAGCATGTAACATTCTGGAAAAATTCTTTTAGGTTTTTTTTTTCCCCCTAACATTTCTATAACTTTATATCATACTTTCCTTCCTTAATATAACATTACATATATATTTTTTTGCCACAATATCCACAGGTCTACAATTTTAAAGGCTGTACAATACTGTAACCAGTAAACATACCAAAGATGATTTAACCATTCCCTTATTGCTGTAATTTTAGTTTCTTTTCCAATTTTAAGGTCTCATAGCTGTATATGATAATCTATACCAGTGCAGTCTAATAGAAATATAATACAAGCCACATATGTAATTTAAAATGTCCTAGTAGCCACATTAAAAGCAAAAAGAAATAGGTGAACTTAATTTTAATAATATATTTTATTTAATCCAATATATCCAAAGTACTATCATTTCAACATGTAATCAATATAAAAATTACTCATATTTTATATTTTCAAAATCCAGTGTGTACTTTACACTCATAGCACATCTCATTTCAGACTAGTCACATTTCAAATGACCATTAGCTATGTGTGTCTGGCTAGTGACTACTGTTTCAGAGAGCACAAATCTATAATATCGATTTTATGAGAGAAACTAGAAATCCTATTTAAACGCTTTTCAAAATCACATTGGTGTTATCTATTAACATTCCTGCAGAATACATTTCTCAAGTTCATTGTGTTGCAAAATTTCAAAGGTACAGTTAGTTGCTCCTTCTTTCAAGTTGGTGAGTGAAGGAATCATGAGTGGGTGCCATGCGTATTTTATAGAACACTAGTCTTTTCTTACACAGATTTGCCTCCAGCTGGACTAAACTGGGTCACACCCTTCATCTCATAACGAACCCTGTCAACTGCTGATGTTGACGGTACGGCACCCAGCGGCCCCGTGACTGCCGCCAGTCCACGGCACTCTCCAGGATTTAATCAGACCCTGTGTTATGCCGAAGACTACTGTAGCACCACTGAAGAAATCTCAAACCCTGGTCTTCCTTGAACGGACCTCCTCTTTGTTCATCAGTAGAATAAAAATCCAGCATCCTCTTTTTTCAGTATCTAGCATTTTAAAAGTGTCGGGGTTAGTCCTCTAAGATACTTTTAAAAAGAAACTATGATCCAGTTGGTCTGGCACACCAAAAAGTTGTTCAAGTCTTGACTTTTTTTGCCAGATTGCCTTTTCTTAGGGCAGATTCTTATGGTATGTTAACTATGAATAGCTCCCTCCTTGAGAAAGTCGCATGCCCCAAATTCAGGATTTTCGGTGCATTTTCCAATTTGCTTAGAAAATTCTCACTGTGAAATTCAGAGTTCTCTCATTTTCCCCAAAGAGAAAGTTGTATTATTCTGAAGAACAATAGAAATTAGATGATCGAGTCAAATAAAATCTATGGGAGGAATGTACCCATTCATTACGCTTTTAATTTCTTCCATATTAATTTCTTCAGTCTCAAGTAAGTCAAACGTAATGTGACTTTCAAAACTATCATTCTGCTCCAGTTCTGGGTTTTTCCTATCTTAACTGCTTTCAAGTGTTTTCCATTCTTAGCTTCAAATTTAGCTTCATCATTTTCCTCTTCTCAATAAAGTTCCTCAGATGTATTCCGAGGGGAGAACAAAAAGAACAAAGAGAAACTGTCCTTAAATTGGCGGTTCTAACCAAAAATGACTGATGCAGGTGATCAGCAGGCATTAACCCAGCTCGCAGGGCCATCCCGGATGTGGAAGGAGGGAGTGGGAGGAGGGGAGCAGCTAAGAAAGCAGCCCAGAGATTTCTTCGAGAGTCCCAAGCACACATCCCATGGTGCCTGCTACACTGACCGTGAAGACATTGTGGATACAGCGCAAGAAGAGGCGAAACCTCTAAAACTCATGATAATGGCCTTTAGAGATCCAGATGTCTCCTTTCTGTAACTTCCAATAACTTGACACCCGTGTTCCTCACCAAATTGTACGTTCCATGAAGGCCACAGCGTCTACTTTATTTACCGTTACAACCCGAGTTACCTGGCATGGTGTCTGTAGTACAGTAGGTACCCAATAAATATGATGAATCAATAAACAGAATCAAAAAGACCTGGTCCAGCAACCATCCATCCCTAGATCCAAGTGAAATATGCTCATCTTCCAGGTTTCTCTTTTTTACCTCCTTTCAATCACAGGATTCGTGGCTCATCAATTCAGTTACATCGCTGAGGAAGTCGGGCAGAGGAGACCCCCGTCAAAGGGAAGAAGCTCCATTCACGCGATGAGGAAGTCCTGGGGATCTGACGCAGCGTGGTGGCTGCGGTTAACAATACTGTGTTGTATACCTGAAGTTTGCTGAGAGAGTAGATCTAAAGCATTCTCACCACCAAAAAGAAGGAAACTATGTGAGGTGATGGACGTGCTAATTAATCTGGTTGTGGTAATTATTTCACAATGTATACACATATCAAATCATCACATTATATACTTTATACAATTTGTCAATTATACTTCAGTAAAGCAGGGAACATGTTTTTTAAAAAAGGAAGTTAATTAGCTCAGCCTCTTAAGCTTCTGCCATGCACACGTCTTTCTAATGCGTGATCCTGGGTTTCCTGCCTACTTGTTTTCTTCTCTCCTGGCCTGAGCCATGGGTGCTATAGAAATCATAGAGTAGCACTGATGGTCAATATCACAAGTATATGATTTTGGTGGGCCCCTGATGCTGCTTAACTCACTTTTTACTTAATATAATAAATATTCTTTCACAAACCATTACTCAAAATAATGGTCTGACCCACTCTCTACTCCTCCGCAGTGAAAGTAGGCTCACATGCAGATTTCCGCCTTACCAGTCTACCAATGCTATACTCTCAAGGCTACAAATGAACTCTTAATCAATTCCAGGACTGAAAATCTATCTGAAAGTCACTGTCTGTGCGAGACTGTATTTTTATAAAATCTCAAGAAACGTGAGTTACATGTACACAACAGGGTAGAATCCCCAGGTTTTTCTTTATCCTCACAATACCATGTCTGACACAGAAAAAGGTCATAGGTCACTGAGCCGCTATCTCACTCTATCTAAATTGATTATTTTGGATGATGATAGCTGGATTATAACAATGAAATATATTGCTAACATTTTTTTGAGCTCTTTCTACGTTTAAGGCTCTGTATGTGTTACTTTACAAGCTATATCTTATTTAATCTTTAATACAACTCTTTGTGGTAAACACGATGTCTGTTTTACAGATACAGAAACTGAAGCACAAAGAACGTATTTAATTATTCAGGGTCACACAGTAGGGGGCACAGTCGGGACTTGAACCCTTGTGTTCCTATCCACTACACAATATTTCCCCACGGTGTAACTCACCACTGGCATGAGAATTCCTTGGTGAGACGGTTAAAAATGCAAATTACCAGGCTGCAGTCAAGGTCTATGAATCAAGAATAGATGGGGCCTAGAAATATGTATTTCCAGGTGATTCCTAGCACATCAAAATTAATTAAAAGCATTTTCTCTGAAGAAATACTGGTTAAATAAAAAAAAACATGTGGACAATAAAAATAATTTGATGCTTTGTCAAAAAAAATTTTTTTCCTGTGTTTAGGTCTATTTATTCCATTATATTCTCAAAGGCTTTCACAGAAAGGTTTTCTTTAGCTGTTTTTTTATTCTTTAAAAATTTTTCCTTATTGTGGCAAAATATACGTAACATAAAATTTGCCATTTTAACCATTTTAAAGTGCACAATTTAGTGGTATTAATTATACTTCCATGTTGTACAACCATCAACACTATCTATTTCCAAAACTTTTCCATTACCACAAACTCACTCTGTAACATTAAGCAATAACTCTCAGCCTCTGGTAATCTCTAAATTAGTCTCTTTGAATCTGTTCATTCTAGATATTGCATATCACTGGAATTGTGCAGTATTTGTTTTTTGCATCTGGCTTATTTCATTTAGCATATGTTTTCAAGCTCATCATGTTGTAGCATGCCAGAACTTTGTTCCTTTTTAGGACTGAATAACTTAGGTATGTGGTGTGAGGTAGGGGTCCAACTTCATTCTTTTGCACACAGAAATCCCGTTGTCTCAGCAGCACTTGTTGAAGAGACTATTCTTTCCTCATTAAACGGACTTGGCACTCTTGTCAACAATCAGTTGGCCACAGATGCATGGGTTTATTTTTGGATTCTCAATTCTATTCCATTGGTCTATATATCTACCCTCATGTCAGTACCATATTGTTTTGATTACTGTAGCTTTGTGGTAAGTTTGAAATCAGGAAATGTGAGTCCTCTGACTTTGTTTTTCTTTTTCAAGATTGTTTTGGCTATTTAGGGTTGCTTGCAGTTTTTTTTTAATTGAAATGTATTTGACATATAACACTGTATAAATTTGAGGTGCACAACACGTTAATTTGATAGATTACACACTGTAATAGGATTGCCATGGCAGTGATCTCTAGCTCCTCTATCATGTTACAGAGTTCTCATTTCTCTTCAGTGGATGGAATAATTAAGTTCTAGTCTCTTAGCA